TCTCTGCGACCTTAGAGATCTATTGTGTCCCCCTTTCTTGAGTTATAACTCATCATACAGTCCCAGGACTTCCTACGGAGACCCGTGTCCCGCACAGTCGAGGAGCTACGACCCGGGCCGGGTAGACGAAACGGTAGCTTGTGTCGCCTGTTGGGTTTAGAGGTAGGAGGTAGGCTCCCGACCCTTGGAGGAGGTGGTAGCTTGTATGCCACTTGCGGAGGATGGTGTCACGCAAGTGTCAGCCACCTCTCCTGTAGTGCTCTTTGGGTTTGGCCCCTTGGAACTTTCATTGTTACTGTTCTCAGTGTCGCTAGGGGGTTTCCCCACAGCTTCACCGGTGATGTTTTTATTACTATTATTTCCAGATCTTATAGTGTTCCTATGAGTCGCTAGGGACAGTCGGTCCACTTCTACAGAGCCCCGCATGTAGAAGTAAGGGGTAAAATACAATGGGGTGCCCCCCGGTGCCCCAAGGTTGAGGCTGTCCGTAGCCCCGCCCGGTATCGTTATATGTCTTGGTGCAATTCCCTGGCCACGACACTACAGTCAGGGACAAGACGATGAGTAAGATGCTTCTTAGACCAAGCCAAGTGCTAGGGGGGATTCCCCCCCCCCAGCCCCTGACCAGGAACTTCCCCACCAACGACAAGGTCTTGCATCTCCTAGGGGAAGATTTGATAATTACACAAGTTTATTCAGTTTGGTTGATTTGATGAATTGTGTATAACGAAGATGATCGATGCTGTTCTCAGATTTTGGAGTATTATAGATTGCTAACAAAGTTCGCACTCCATTCTCAAATAACGTTGAACCGGACAGTTTTCGTCTTCAAATGCTGCAGCAAGTTGATCCAGTTAATTTATGAAAAAAAATATTATATTCAATATGATCTTTTATGAAAAAATGTAAATTATTTATAATTATATATTTCTCAATAATTAAAGGACAGGACGGCGTGTTTTTGACCGAGGCTACAGGTTGAACTTGAATGATACCGTACATAATGAAAGACAGTGCGCTCACCGCCCGCCCTCTATCTCAAAAACGATTTGAGGTACAAAAAAATTTTTGAAAGAAAACTTGTAGAGAATTTTATCCTCTACAATATTTGTAATAAATACAAATAGCGTAAATGTGAAAGGGAACGAGATATTTGCAAAAAATGCGCAAAAAATCGATTTTTTGACCTTTGGCCTCAGTTATCTACAAGTCACGCAAACGCTATCATATCGTCCTATTGCTGCCAAAACTAACATTTTTCCGAACAACCAAATTCAATCACTAACTATGTTTTGAAGCGGAGAATCGATTGCAAAAGTCATTAACTACGATTTCTGGCTATTTATGTTTTATTTTAATACCGAATAGTTACTAATTATAACATCTTTATGCAATGCAATTCTTCTTTAGACGCATTTTTTTCGGAAGTAATAAAAAGTAAGTTAGTGACTTTTGGCAGCAATGGGACGATAATATGTAGGTTTTGAGACATGTTTTAGGATGTTAAAATAAAGGTTTATACGAGTTTACAGCCGGTTATCTCGAATTCCGAGGTGAAACTCCTAAGATGACTAGACTATAATTCCACTCATCAAAATAACAGTAATTACTAACCATTGAAGGAAAATTACATCAACTGAAATAAAGAAAATTATTACTATGTGTTTCTTGTAATATTACGCAAACAATACTAGTAGCACATTAGGGTATTCCTCTTCTCTTTTTTTACACAAGACTGCACCCGGCTAGAAAGTGTAAACAAATAACAGTTTTTATAGGTTAGTCAGTACGAATCATTTCTAGGTTTCAGATCGGCGTTTTTTTAGCCTACCGCGACCGTGATTTTAATTGAAAAATGCTCGTGCAAGGTAATTTGGTTGTACTAGGTTCACCCTGAGTCATCGACAGATCAAAATACACATTTTACGAGGTTTTTTTACCTACCAGTAAATACGTATTTATAGATGTTTTAAATGCTTATTTTTTTTGTTTATACAAATTTATTTTTTTCTGTGACTCTGAAATCTACAGATCTAGTGTTAGTAGTGTGTCAGAATGTCGTATGTTTATATGTGATTCAAAATGTTGATTGAATATATTTGTCAATTTTACCTTGTTATAAAAATATACCAAAGATTGTATGATATTGTTTTGCAGTATGTTGCAGGTATTTATTTACATTCTTTTACAGACTATAATACTAACTAATAAAAAATTAATTTTTAATTTTTTTTTTTAAAATTGCAAATTAATGTTAAAAGAAGAGAATATTTAAGTATATGAATTTTTCTGAAATATTAAATATTATTATACAGGGTGAGTCTTAAATAAGTGCAAATATTTTCAGGGTTGGTAAATCTTGATAAAAGAAACATATTTTCTCTTTACCGTTCAAATAAATCCAAAATAACCGAGTTATTTTACTTTGAAAATTTCCAAAAAAAAAGAATTTTTGCTTAAATTTTGAGAATCACTGGATATTTTCTGGTTTTTTTTTGTAAACTTAATTTACTACCTATGTTGCCATATTATCAAGAAATTATGATTTTAACTGAAAACTAAAAAAAATTCCAAAAATTATTTCGAAAAATTATCAAAAAAAAAATATTTCAAAAAATTTTCAATAAAAAAATCATAATCTTGTTTCTGGGTTCGAAATACACTCTAACCCTAAAAATATATGCACTTATTTACGACTCACCCTGTATACAGGGTTGTTCACCACATACGACACGGAGTATTGTAGCTAAACGATTACATTTTTACAAATTTCAAGTTTTGGGTTCGATGAAGGACTATTAGAGGTACAATTTAAAAATAATTTACAAGATACAGAGTGTCCCAAATAAGTAAAAAATATCAAAGTTGTATTTTTTTAAATGGAACACCCTGTATATTATTACATTTTAGTTTCTACGATTAAAATAAAGGTAAATTTGATTAAGGTTTATTACACTTAAACCTTACCGTTTTTTAAATATTTTCAATTTTGTGAAATTGCAGTAAAATTTTGTTGCTTTATTTCTCCAAAAGGGTATCAAAGTTTTTAATACTAAATATTTACTGAAGTTTATTTATTGATCAGTTATTGTGTTGCAATAATAAAAATAATACTACCTTATACAGAGTGTCTAAAAATTTATTTTAAATAATTATTAGCTTCAAACGCCAATAACTTATTTAATTTAAATGGAGCGCCCTGTATATTTTAGGAGAATCAGATGCACAATTTAATTGTCTATCAAATTGTATTACACCATTTTTACCTATCCCTTCAAGTTTTCGTAGAAACTGCATTTTCTTATAATTTAGACCTCATTCATCAATATACCCATGGAATATTGACATTTTATTATTGACACCTATGGAATATTGACATCATATATTGACATTCTAGTAACATTATCGTTTTGCTAAAAACAATAATGTTGTATGCAAAAAGAAAACTATTTAAATCTTTATAAAAGAGTATACAATTAATTAAATATAGCACCATTATTTCCGCCCATATGCTAATTAATTACATACTTAATTGTGTTACTATTTATCACACTGTCTAATACCCATACAAAATTCAGTTTTTTAGTATTTGGAACAATTATTATTAATCAATGCAGTCAGTTAATGTAGTTTGAATACTGGAATCATATTAATTGGTCCTCTTTAACAATTATTAACAGTTTTTTTTATTGTTTAATGAAATAAACGAATTATATCCACAATATTAGTATCTGTACTCTTTAAAAATTTGGTACATCTTTAAAAATAATCTAAAATGTCAATATTCCATGGGTATATTGATAAATAAATTCTAAATTACAAGAAAATGCATTTTCTACGGAAACTTAAGGAGATAGGTAAAAAATGGTATAATATAATTTGATAGACAATTAAATTGTGCATCTGATTCTCGTAAAATATACAGGGGGTTCCATTTAAATTAAACAAGTTATTGCCGTTTGAAGCTAATAATTATTTAAAATAAATTTTTAGACACTCTGTATAAGGTATTATTATTTTTATTATTGCAACACCATAACTGATCAATAAATAAACTTCAGTAAATATTTAGTATTAAAAACTTTGGTACCCTTGGAGAAATGAAGCCTTAAAATTTTTACTGCAATTTCACAAAATTGAAAATATTTCAAAAACGGTAAGGTTTAAGTATAATACACCTTAATTAAATTTACCTTTTTTTTAATCGTAGAAACTAAAAATGCAATAATATACAGGGTGTTCCATTTAAAAAAATACAACTTTGATATTTTTTACTTATTTGGGACACTTTGTATCTTGTAAAATTATTTTTAAATTGTACCTCTAATAGTCCTTCATCGAACCCAAGACTTAAAATTTGTAAAAATCTCATCGTTTAGCTACAATACTCCGTGTCGTATGTGGTGAGCAACCCTGTATACAGGGTAGTCCGAATTGTATTCGGGAAACTTGGGCAGAATATTCTGCAGATAAAAATAAGTAAAAATGTTCGTATAAATGTATGTACTAAAATGCTTCCTTTTGGAGATACAGGGTGTAGAAGTTTCATTTTTATTTCGATTTTTTTAAAATAATTTTTGAAGTAATGTTAATGTTTGTTTGAAAATTGGTATCTAGGAGTTTTTTGACATGAGAATTTGATTTTGATGTCAATATGACTCGTATTTGTAGGGGGAGCCACCTACATGTATTTTAACTGTTTTGAAGAGTAATAACTTTTCGTCAGTACCTGTATAAAACTATGAGTGAAAAAATTCACATTTCCGTGATTTTTTATGTAAAAAATGTATCTTGGTAAAAATCGCTACGAGCTACAAGAGCTACACGAGCTTCTTCTATTTGTAAAAACTCTGTGAAATTATTTAAAATATTTGCGTCAAAATTATATCTCTATAATTCAAAATCACAAAGTATGTTCAATGTTCTTTATAATTTAAAAACTACCAAAAACTTACATAAATTAAATTTAATAATGTGAATTATATCAAATTATATTTTAGGCCACATGCTTGTCAACTGGTATCTGTCAGAACTCGCTTCTGACAGTCCAGCAAGAGCCCAACTAGGCGTGACAGAACTGAAGCTGCTAGCTGCCCAATTTTGCACTCACTTGCTTGCAGCTGGAGTCCTCAAACAGTTACCAGACCCGGGAGTTCCACCAACGAACATCTTTAGGGTAAATAATAGCTACAAATTTGATAATTTGATATATCCCAGAAAAAAAAACAATTATTTTTGCACAAATTTAGCCAGATTGTATTTACTATTGGAGCCATGCAGAAATACCACAGTCCCAGCCACAAACACCTGGACGGCTCAGCGCACTCTACTGGCCTCCACCATCGCCAAATGAAGCTACTTTGACATCTCCGAATGATGTTTCCAATAATGTCGGTAAGGAACTCTTATTACGTTACTAAAATTTGTTAAATTTATTTTATTAACTATGTTTAGTGAGCCTGGCGTCCCAGGAAATGAAAAGCTCAGCTCGGGATGTAGAAATATTATCGTTGGAAGAAGAAATAAAAAGCCTGAGGCAAGAAGTGGAAAAATATAAAACGTTGGTACTGTATATCTTTTTTATTACGTTATTAATCTAGATATAGAATGAAAGAATACTTGCACTAAATAAGGGAATATAGCCTAATATGCACCGCTTTGCAAAAAAAGTTAAAAAATTTACTAAATTTTTCGGACTGGGTGCTACTTGAAAAAGATATTAATATGGAAGTCTTGTTCAGCTTATAAAATAATATAGGGTTGGTGCATTCTCCGCCGGTGCTGCCACCAACGGGGAATATCGTAAACAATTGGTATATACAAATATGCGGGTTTAAATAGGGAGTATACGAAAAATTTATTAAATCATTATTTTAAAAGTGCTATGAAGTATATTTTGTGAAAATTCTAAAAATAAAAATGAAAAAGGAAATATTTTGATATCTTCAGAGGGTCTAACTTGTGTTGTGATTTATTATTCCAGCTAAAAACACTTTTTAGATGAGTTCAACTACGGTAGCGAGCATAGCTTTACGCACCGGTTTCGCTAATTTTTTAAAGGTACATAATTATAATTTTAGAAGATATTCATAAAACATTTAATCACTAGTTGATTAAAAAAAGCATACCATTCAAATTGCAAATTATATTTTATCCTCTCATAGTATATCGTCACCCTAGAAGAAGATTGTTCTATAGACAATTTCGATGAAACTGAGAAAACAAGGTTTAAAGTTTAAACTGGATATCCGTGAACGCTATATACAGTACGTCTGTCCGTTCTGTAGCTACGGGGTATCCGTGAGAGGGGAAACGATATTCTATCCATGTGTTTCGTAGAAAATTGGACGACGCGTCCCATCAATAAAAATTCGACAAATTTGTAAGTAGCCAATAAAATGAATGAGCGGAGCGACGTATTCGTACGTGACGTACAGACGAACTGTACCAAAATAGTTCTATTAAACATTTAAATTAAAGATAATATAAAAACCTATCAAACATACAGTACATCTGCTGGATCTGTGTCTATGAAAGGAATGCGGACAAAAAACATTTAAATAAACAGCAATATATTTTATACGTCGATTTGACGAGTGCGTCACCGCAAATCGCTCCGCCCACTCATTTTATTGGCTACTTGCAAATTTGTTGAATTTTTATTGATTGAGCGATTGAGCAGTCAATTGAGTGAATTCGAATTTGCTAACAAATCAGGCAATCAGTGCTTTTCAAACGAACCGATTTACCGCCTATTTGACAAACGAACGTTTAGTGGTGCAATTTCACCCGCTTAAAACAAAAGCCTTAAATTTAAATAAAAAAAAAATAATTAAATAAAACAGATACATCCATTGTATGTTAGAGAGAAAGAGATCGAGAATAAATGGATATAGAACAATCTAATTTTTATGCATAGTAACATATTTGTTGATCTGGTACGAGGCATGTTTTTTAAGTAAGTACCGTTTTGGAATTTAAAAAAAACGTGCAAAGATATCGCAATAATTTTATTTTTACATGAAAGCCTGTACCTTAATCTACTTTTCTACATAATTTCCGTGAATATTGAGGCACTTGTCATAACGTGGCACCAGTTTTTCAATACCCTCCTCATAAAATTCTGCCGCCTGACTGGTTAACCACTGTATCACAACTGTTTTGACTTCGTTATCGTCTTGAAGACGCTGACCGCCCAGGTGTTTCTTCAAGTGCATGAATAAATGGTAGTCACTGGGCGCCAGATCAGGGCTGTATGGAGGATGATCTAGAGTTTCCCATTTAAAAGATTTGATAAGATCTTTGGTCCGATTAGCCACATGTGGACGGGCATTGTCATGCAGCAAAACAATACCCTTACTCAACTTGCCACGTTTTTTTGTTTTGGATTGCACGGCGCAGATTGTTCAATGTCTCACAATAAGATGCTGCATTGATTGTCTCATTACGAGGCAGAAACTCCACTAGCAATACTCCTTTTCTGTCCCAAAAAACTGTGCACATGATTTTCCGGGCAGAAATTGTTTGCTTAAACTTCACTGTTTTCATGATGAATGTCGCCATTCCATGGACTGTTGTTTCGATTCTGGTGTGACTTAGGCCACCCATGTTTCGTCACCAGTAACAATTTTGTCTAAAAATCTTCTAACAAATCATTGTGGTACTGCTCAAACGAAAGTTAATGCACTGCCTAAACGTTGGGTTTTGTGCAAATCCGTCAACATTTTCGGAACCCAACGTGAACACAATTTCCGGTAATTCAAGTTCTCGGTCACAATGCGATACAAAACACTACGAGAACATTGAGGAAAGTAGTCGCACAATGATGAAATTGTAAAGCGTCTGTTTTCTTTCACCTTTTCGTCCACTTTCTGCACCAAATCTTCATTAACGACCGAAGGACGCCCACTCCGTTCTTCATCATGCACATTCGTATTTTCGTTCCATATCCACTTCTTAGGATAAAGAACACAATAATTCTTTTTTTTACTGTAGCCTTAAATAGTGATTTTTGGATGTAGGCCATTATATGGTTTCGCGACTTTCAAATTAATATGGATATAGTACAAAATATTAGATTTTTTTTCTTTATTTGTGAATTTGGCTATATTGTTTTTGTGGAAATAGAACAAGCTAATTCTGCATAAAAAAATGGTGTATGTAACTTATTTTACCCCAAAAGTGGATATAGAACAACCTAGTTCTAGGGTGACGATATGTCTATTTAATTTTTTGACTATGTAACGAGCACTTTGTTTACTCACTTGTTTCGTCGAACTACTTGAATCCATTTTTGCTTTTGAACAAATTGGTGTGAGAAACTCTGAAGTTATAAAATGTTGTTTCGGGAGAATTTTATTAATATTTGAAATTGTCACCACACAACACGATGCCTGGTTTGGATTCTTTTTCACTTATTTTTTACTACCTGGAATAGCGTTATATCACACAAACCTCGTACCTGAGTATTTTATAGTTTCAATTACTGCGCCAGCAAAAAACTAAAATAGGTACTTAAATATTATGACAGACACAACTTCCATATTATTTTAATGCGATCAACCGGGACGACGTGAAATACATGGTGAAAATTTCTGATTTCTGCCGTATACAGCGCTGCGGTTGGAATTTTTTGACATCAAATGAAATGCACCAAGCCGATTTATACTGCAAGGTGTATTGCCAATGCAATTTTAAACCATATATTCAAGAGGTACGATTTACAATCCAGTATTCTATAGGTGACTAAAAAAGGCTAACTGGAAGAACAATCTGACACATAAAGCAATAACCAACAAATTGTTACCTTTTTTCACATTTTTTATTAACATTATTAATATTTTTAGATCGAAATTCAGAACTTGACTGCTTCAGCCGTCAAGGACTTCGGATCTCCTACAGAGTCGGAAAAAACCTTATGTGAAGCTGTTAACAGCCATGTAGTTCAGAAAGCTACACTAGCTGCCGCTACGTGGACAAGTTTAAACTGCACTGAAACTGACACCCAGACAATATCGAGTGTAAATAGTGCCAGTACACAAACAGATATACCTTGTATGATATGTCAAGAAACTCAAACTGAGGCAGATTTTGACGTAGATAAGGAAAAGGTAATGGATTCTGAATATAGATTTTTAAAAGTTATATTGGCTATATTTCCTCATTTTGTTTGAGAGTGGGAGTCTCAGTACTAGCCCACATAATATGAGTGGAATTATTGGAAAACTTTTTGTTTTGCCTGATTATGTCGTGTTTATCGCTATATTCCTCGGTACAGTAATGAAATCGACAACTTCGATTTGCCCGACTGGAAAATTAAAAAAAATTGGCGCCGGGAGGCACGTATAGCCGCCCATACTAAAATATGTTAATATCTCGAAAACTGCGACTTTGACTGATTTTGATGTTATTACAAATTTTGTTGCAAATATTATTCCTAATCTTAATTTGAAAACCGCGTTTCGCTAGCTACTGTAATTTTGAAGTTACGATTTTTTAAAATTTTTAACCCCCTCCCATTTCCCATTACCAACCCCCCACCCCTACCAAAAACTAATGGCCAGATTCTCGGGTGCCACAGTATTTTTGTGCCAAATTTGGTTAAAATCGGTTCAGCGGTTTTTGAGTTATCGTGTTACATACGGACAGACGGACAGATGGACAGACGGACAGACGGACAGACGGACAGACGGACAGAAACTGACATACGGACAGACGGACAGATGGACAGACGGACAGACGGACAGACGGACGAACGGACAGACGGACAGACGGACAGACGGACAGACGGACAGACGGACAGACAGGAGTGACAGACGGACAGACGGACAGACGGACAGACGGACAGACGGACAGACGGACAGACGGACAGACGGACAGACGGACAGACGGACAGACGGACAGACAACGGACAGACGGACAGACGGACGACTAGACGGACAGACGGACAGACGGACAGACGGACAGACGGACAGACGGACAGACGGACAGACGGACAGACGGACAGACGGACAGACGGACAGACGGACAGACCATTGGTTTCTAAATACTTTGCTTTGCAATACTACAAATCCCCAAAAAATCAGTTCAATGTCAGTAAATCTTAAAATGTTTCCAAGTCGACATTCTTGTTCTTTGTGGGTCGATTTCAGGACTATAGATAAGAGTATGATACTAAACCGTTTTCGAAAATTTTAAAATTATAGGAAATGTTAGCCTAATAGGATATTTTATTTTTTGGCTAAAAACCAGGGATGTCAAATGGGGCGCCAGAATATAATCATTAATCAAAAAAATACATTCAGTGACTGAGACAGTTTTATAATTTATTGTCTTAGAAAAAAGAACATCTCAATCTTTGCATCAAACAAAGATAGATAATTTTTTCGTCTTACTTTAGAACTTCTCCTTACATAGAACATTACATATGGTTATGGAAAGATTTTTTTCCGCCAATCGTCATTTTCCGTGAATAGCATTTCGCTGGGCTAAAAAGACTGTTACTTTAAACATATATATTTATTTTACAGAAAACTCAACCAGGAGTATGCCCTGCACCACCACCTCCTCCTCCAATGCCAGTGGAAGTGGATTCTTCAGATCCACCGTCAAATTCAGTACCTCCACCTCCTCCACTACCTCCACCTCTTCCTGTTACATTAAACGGAGACCAATCATGTATTCCTGCATTATCCTGCAATGGAGGACCACCACCACCTCCACCATTACCAGGTCTTTCCGGAGGACTTCCACCACCACCTCCTCTACCTGGATTGGCTGGACCACCTCCTCCTCCACCACCTCCATTACCTGGAACAACTGGGGCACCACCTCCTCCTCCTCTGCCAGGAATGGTTTCTCCTTCTCTGATAGGAGGTGGAGTCCCGCCGCCTCCCCCTCCAGCATTTATGGGCGTCCCACCTCCTCCACCTCCTCCTGGATTGGGAGGTGATGGGAAACCACCTCCTCCTCCTCCGCCTGGAGGACCGATGCCTATGCCCGCGCCGCCGCCTGGAGGATTTATGATGCAGAAAGCTGGTGAGTTTAGATAATATATTGACACACCGTGTGATTAACAAAAAAAAAACTTTTGCAGATATAGTATGTATCTCAAATGTTCATAACCCCTTTCTTGTCAAATTTAGGTCGTTCTTAGGTGTAGGTAAATGTAACTACTATTTTTTTGTTGGTCATACGGTATGGTAGATCTAAATACCCATAGATCATCTTTCAGACGTAAAAGAAAATTTACATAGGTTGTTCTATTTTTGTCCTTAGGAACCACAATTCCTCCTTTCCATTTAGGTAAGATCATCGATATTGTAACGGTATGGCTTTTATTCTGGTCTCGGTATTGGCTCTGGGCGCACCCACGTAAATTTATGGTAAAAGTGCGTTTTAGGCGGTTGAAAAATGTGTTCAATTTTTCTATCTTTGAATACATCAATAATATACGGAATGGTGAGAAATATATTCCGGAAACTTCGGCATCAAATTCTGCAGATGACAATAAGTAAAAAAGTTCGTATAAATGTATATCCTAAAATGCTTGGTATCGGAGGTACAGGGTACAAATTTAATTCCTATTTCGATTTTTTCCAAATAATTTATGAAGTAACGTCAATATTTAGATGAAAATTGGTATCTGGGAGTTTTTTGACATCAGGTCTCTTCTCTTTAGATAGGCTGTAATCTTAGCCATTGTCTAGTAATACTAACTTTATTAATTACAATATGTTTATTAAAAAAGACGCGAAAAGATCAACAAAATTCATAAACTTCTGTTGTAAACAAAAATAAAATTTATCGTATGAAAATGTCGATATTGCCCAATTGATGATCAATTTATGTTCAACTGATATTTCTAAAATTTCTGTAATCTCAATCTTTTGATTGTCGCACGATCCTCTTTCAACCAAATTTATAAAAATTGAGCATATGAATTTTTAACCGCTCAAAAGACACTTTTAATAAAGTTTTCATATTTTTGAACTTGGCTTTTTCAGTCTGTATCTTAACAATAACTTTATTATTTTATATTTATATTGCGAATTAAGTAACTTGCTATTGTGGCACTAAAATATCTTTGCTTGGGAGTTTATAAACGCATGAAAGTTACATAAATATATCATTTTATTATTTATGATTCAATATTCAAAACGAAAAACTGTTTTAAAAATATTGTATTTCAGTTATTATAATTACTGTACAAATTAGAATGATTTTTACAACGAAACATAATATTTTGTAAAGACTCTAAATGTTGATTGAAGAAATAAGAAGATGCGCAACCTTATGGGCGATTTCGTGGCACAAAACATGCCCGAAATATAGCTGGCGTTACCGTTATTCTGTCCGAGATTTAGCTCTGCGCCGCTGCGCACTGATAGTCGTTTACAGCTTTGAATAAGAAGACTAAGGAAGGAGCATATCAAAAATCTTTGGTACACCGCGATGGGCCTCAAATATGGCCGACTTAAATTCCGGTTTATTAGTATCGTTCTAATTATATTTAAAAAATGTAAAACTATGATGTAGGGTAGACGTGGGGTAGACTCAATAATTTGTTGTTTTATTTTACGTTGTGAATAAATGCTGGTAGTTATTAAAATTGTTATAAAAATATATAATTCTAATAAAAATAGATAAGTTATAATAAGTATTTATTACCACAAACATCCGATACGCTACTGAAGCAGGTCAAATTAACGTATCTAAATTCTTTGACATCTAATTTTTACAAGTTATAAATAAAAGCTAAAATGCAAGAAAAATATATAATTTAGTTAATTTAAGTGAATTTCATAAATGATCGGTTTACTACACGTATGTATATTATATAGTCACTTACTAGCGAAAAGTTGTTCCATTATTTCATTCAATTATTGCCGAGATCTACCGCACGCTACACAACCAACTATTTTAGAATCTTTTTCGATAAATCGCGATAGTGTCACTGTTAATTTAAGTGCTGCCACAATTTCCATCTAGATTTACTACCTTTATACAACTATCAGTAGTGGAATAAATAATAAATAACATAAAATAAGCTCCGTAAAGACTGACAAATCCACAAAATTTCAAATCAAATTCAAATGTGTCAAATGAATCGTCAAACAGAACTGTCAAGGATCCCCACCCTAGAGTGCTTTTATGGTGCTTTTTCCGCCCACCATGCATGAATACATGGATAGCATTATGCTCCTTCCTTAGTCTTCTTATTCAAAGTTTACAGCGCAGCGGATAAAAAATACTGAGACGGTGTTGCCAGAACTACAGATTGATCCGTATATTTACGGATTTTCAGTACGTTAATAATACGGATTTTCTATCATTAAACAGTTTAATGTAATAGTATATGATTAAACAAAGAACGGCGTCAGAGTTGGCTTGGAAATGAAGATCGCTGTTATTTCATATGTAAAATATTATGGCAAATGTCAATAACCGTAATTTCCATCCCAACTAAACGGTTTCTTTCGATCATACGTAATATTCAGTACCTATTAAAATAATTTTTATTTTTGTTGTTTACTCTATGTTTAACACGAATAAATTTCCAATACATAAATGTGGATTTTTCATCCAAAGATATTTTCGTCAAACAATAAAGACATTACACATTTTAATATAGCGACATAATATGGTGGCCCGAACTGTATTCCGGAAACTTTGGCAGCATATTCTGCAGATAAAAATAAGTAAAAAAGTTCGTATAAATGTATGTCTTAAAATGCTTAATTTTGGAGATACAGGGTGTAGAAGTTTCATTTTTATTTCGATTTTTTCCAAATAATTTCTGAAGTAACGTCAATATCTGGATGAAAACTGGTGTCTGGCAGGTTTTTGACATGCGAAATTTGATTTTGATGTCAATATGACTCCTATTTATAGGTGGCGCCACCTACATGTGTTTTAACTGTTTTGAAGAGTAATACCTTTCGTTCGTACCTGTATAAAACTACTGAGTCAAAAAATATACATTTTCATGACTTTTTACGTAAAAAATCTCGTAAATGTACATTTTTTTACTCGTTAGTTTTATACAGGTACGGACGAGAGAGAAAAGTTATTATTCTTCAAAACAGTTAAAACATACGTAGGTGACGCCACCTACAAGTAGGAGTCATAGTGACATTAAAATCAAATTTCTCATGTCAAGAAACTCCCAGACACCAATTTTTATTTAAATAATGTCGGTACTTCAGAAATTATTTGGAAAAATCCGAAATAAAATGAAACTTCTACACACTGTATCTCCAAAACTAAACATTTTAGGACATATATTTATACGAACTTTTTGATTTATTTTTATCTGCAGGATATGCTGCCGAAGTTTACCGGAATACGGTTCGGACCACCCCTGTATATAGACATTACACATTTTAATAAGAATTCGCCCATTAGGTTGCATATCTTCCAATATGTCTCTCAATCAACGGTGTAAATATTATTTTAACAATATTGCATTATAAACTCTTAATGTTAACACAAAATTAACATACCTACCCCTCATCTCTGATGATATTATACACTGCATAAAGGTAACTTTCAGCTACAAGAAAGCCTCAACTCAATCCTCCTGTACCGATGAAACCGTTGTATTGGACTAGGATTTTGCTTGCTCAAGCTGTCAAAACTCAGGAGGGACCAGCGCTGTGGGACGAAATCGACGAAGAACCTATTGATAAGTTGTCAGAAGACCTTACGAAACTGTTTTCTAGACAGGTAAGCCCGAAATGTTTTTTAATGTAGATAATATTTTGCCGGGTCCAGACCAAGCAGACAAAATAACGACAAGACAGAAACATTCATGCTTTATGACAAAATTGCGACAAATCCAATACATTTTTGCTATATTTTTGTCTCATTTTTGTTTTATTTCAAAATTCATGTGCTGCCAACGGTAGGAGACCAGTAAAATCACACATGGTGTAATAAAACTCATTCGCAACAACTAAACTTTTGACTTTTTTGTACTTTTGTCGTTGCGGTGTGGAGAATTGGTCTCAAGTTTGTCTTGTCAGAATTCCCCATTTTTTGTCGCAAGTTTGTCTTGTTTTTGTCTCAAAATCGTGTTTACTTTTTGTCGCCTTGGCCTGGACCCGCCATTATATTTTGAAATAATGATTAACAAGAAGAAGTATTTTCTGTCGTTTCTGGATGCTCTTGTCCCCTTTGAATAAGAAGACTAAGGAAGGAGCATAATGCTATCCATGTATTCATGCATGGTGGGCGGAAAAGCACTCTAGGGTGGGAATCCTTGACAGTTCTGTTTGACGATTCATTTGACACATTCATAGATAAAAGACTTATACTATTAAATAGATAGGCAACTTATAATACATTTCAATTTTATTATACAAGGGCGCCTCTGGTAGACGGAGGAAGAAATACTAATGGAAGAGAGGGGTGCGGGGAAGGGGGGTTGTTTTAGTTAATTTAAAATAAATTTAGACATACATGTAAGAACACTTTGTGTGCTTTTAATTAGGTCGAACATATTATACACGATAAATCAACTGAATTAAAAGCATACAAAGTGTTCTTATATGTCGGATATTAATTAAAAAATATATTAAAAATACTAGAAATAGTATATATTAAGTTGTTACAGTTATAATTTAATCTTTGGTGGTTTTCAGCAAATAGCAGGCAGTTTTACATAATTTTCCTCCCTTTGAAGTGAATTGGAAACGGCTAGGTATATAATTTTGGTGTAGGCAAGATTCCCAGTTTGTTTCCGTTTGGGACCTGAAATAATCAAAACAAATTAAATCAGATGTAATTATCTGCTGATCATAAAAAAAAACGCGCGTCCTTAATTCCTTACATGCACCGTAAAAAAATTAAATAACTGCTCTGCAAGTAGCATTTATTAGCAGTACTAATTTAAAAAATCTATAACTGTAAGTAGATATGTTTAATTTACTTACCATTGTATCCTTCGGAAACCAGGTGTACAACAATTAAACTCCATGATAAAAAATAATTAAGAGTTATTACAAAACACAAATTGTCCCACCATTTTTAAAAAACATTGTCTAAAACAGAATACTGGCAAAAAATCTGAAGGAATTTAATTTTACAATAATTCGACAAATCAAACCGTAAAATCACAACAAAAGCGTCTCTGAGTGACAGTTAAAAATCAAATTTTATTATTGTCAGATATTGACATTTGCATTGTTAATATTGACAGTTTTAATATTTTGCGCCTCTGCATCTTGGAGGAAAAACTATTTTTAATGAACTGTCATTTCCATTTAAGTCAGCCATGGACACATTTGAATTTGATTTGAAATTTTGTGGATTTGTCAGTCTTTACGGAGCTTATTTTATGTTATTTATTATTTATTCTAATACTGATAGTTGTATAAAGGTAGTAAATCTAGATGGAAATTGTGGCAGAACTTAAATTAACAGTGACACTATCGCGATTTATCGAAAAAAGACTCTAAAATAGTTGGTTGTGTAGCGTGCGGTAGATCTCGGCAAAATTGAGTGAAATAATGGAACGACTTTTCGCTAGTAAGTGACTATATAATATACATACGTGTAGTAAACCGATCATTTATGAAATTCACTTAAATTAACTAAATTATATATTTTTCTTGCATTTTAGCTTTTATTTATTACTTGTCAAAGATTAGATGTCAAAGAATTTAGATACGTTAATTTGACTTACCTGCTTCAGTAGCGTATCGGATGTTTGTGTTCTTAAATACTTATTATAACTTACCTATTTTTATTAGAATTATATATTTTTATAACAATTTTAATAACTACAAACATTTATTCACAACGTAAAATACAACAACAAATTATTGAGTCTACCCCACGTCTACCCTACATCATAGTTTTACATTTTTTAAATAAAATTAGAACGACACTGATAAACCGGAATTTAAGTCGGCCATATTTGAGGCCCATCGCGGTGTACCTAAGATTTTTGATATGCTCCTTCCTTAGTCTTCTTATTCAAAGTCTTGTCCCTAGAAATAGTAGAGACCTTTTATCTATCTATATATTTTTATTTATATATACAGTATGTCATAAGAGGAAAAACTTTTTTTATTATTGACATTTTGAGAAAAATGCATTTTTATACAAATTTCTGCTGCCGTTTATACCTTTCCAAATTTCCTAAAAGTCCTAAAAATCAAAACGCGTTTCTATGGGAATATAATTTCGTTTTCATTCTTTGATAGATTATTATTGACAGAATTTTAATTAACGCCATACATTTTGCTGTTTTATAATGTCAGAATGTAGAATGTTTAGGAGGGGAGTTAATCACCGCGACCTTAGAGATCTATTGTGTGTTCCATTTTCTTGAGTTATACAGAATTATAACTCATCATACAGTCTCAGGGCTTTAACAAAAGCCAGTATCTGAGACGGCTCTATAGAGACTAGCTCTCCATCCTCGACGCCAGACGTACACCAAAGTTCATGGCACGAATGGTCGTGGTCTCGGCGCACTCAGTGATAAGGTGATCTGGTGTTTCCCCATTTTACCCACAAAATCTGCATTCGCCGTTGTTTCTCAGCTTCACCCTACTGAGGTGTTCGTTGAGGAGACAGTGTCCTGTTAGAAACCCCGTGACAATCCGAAGATTCTATTTAGTTAAATCAAGGTAAACCTTTGGTTTTTCTCGGTCGTAAGTTCTGAGAAACTTGTTCGAGTGTCTTAGACCGTTGGAGGACACCCATTATATAAGTTACGGATGGAGTCTTCCAGATTCTTCAGTTCCGCTTTCAGTTGGTTCCCGTTTGGAAAACAGAACGGTTCTGGTCCATTTACTTTAGTGTTCGCTCTTTTCCTAGCTAGATCATTTGCTTTTTCATTGCCTTCTATCCCTTGGTGAGCAGGCACCCAGAGTAGGAGGACTTTATTTTCTTTGCCTAATTTGTTGAGCTTCTCTAGCATTCTTTGACCAACTTCGAATTGATGGTTACTGAGTTGATCGCCTTAAGTGTTGCTTGACTATCAGATAGGATGGCAATTTCCTGTTTTCGATAGTTCCTATCTAAGATAAATTGTATGCATCTTTCGATAGCGTAAATTTCTGCCTGAAGGATACTGGGGTAGGTGCCCATTCGTTCGGAGTATTTAGTTTTCGGCCCAAATACTCCTATCCCTGTCCCTGCTTTGGTTTTGGAAGCATCAGTATACCACATGATGGTATGGTCTTTTATATGCTGAGTAAGTGTTTCTTTCTTCGAATTTTTATTACTCAATACTACAGTGAGGTGTTTCTTAAAGTTGTAAATTCTTGGTATGTCATCCACTGGGAGTTGGAGAAGTGGAATTTTATGATGTTAAAGAAGCATAAATTTAGTTCAATGCTTCGGGAAAGGTGATAATAGGTATCGGAAAATATGATATTTTAACAACATGAAAAAATATGACGTTGATCAAAATTAATTATGACGATCTATCAGTGAATAAGATCGAAATTATAATATCAAAGAAACATCTTTTAACTTTAAGGACTTTAAAAATATTCAAATACATTTTCATGTTTTTTTTTTAATTTTCCCTAAAACGGTATGGAAATTTGGAAAAGTATAAACGGGATTAACCATTTTAGAACAAGCAAAAATTTTACTGTAGAATGAATTCTTCTCAAAATGTCAATAATATAAAAGTTTTTCCTATTGTAAAAACAATCCGGGACATACTGTTTAACTTACTTTAGTTTTCTCAATATTTCTGTCAGTTTCATTTCAATTGCAGCGATAATAGGTGTGCCATTATCATAAATCTCAATTTGTTGAACATTATTTTATCAAACTTTCTTATTTAAGTCGTGCTTGTATCTATCTCTGATTTAATATTTTGTTCATTTTGTTTAAACTAATGTAGTTGGTTTATTTTCAGGTTATTAATAGGGCACCAACAGTTAAGAAACAGGTACAAAAACCGAAAGTGGAAGTGGTAAAACTATTAGACAGTAAAAGATCACAAAATGTTGGAATTCTTGCTCAAAGTCTAAGACAGGACTTCAACGAAATAGAAAACGCAATTTATAGTTTTGATACGTCCGTAGTTAGTTTAGAAGTATTGCAGCAAATATATGAAGTGGTATGTTTGGATTCTATGTTAATTTTTAAAATTAGTTAATAAGATTCATTGTATTTTTTTAGAGAGCAACTCCTGAAGAATTGGAACTTATTAATGAGCATCTGAAAACTCGACCGGATGTACCTCTTGATAAGCCGGAACAATTTCTGCACGATTTGTCACAAATTGCTGACTTTTCGGAAAGGATTGCCTGCCTAACATTTCAAGTAAGTAATTAGTACCAAAGTCTTATACAGGGTGTTTCAAGAAACATGTGCCGTCTCTCGTAAAAATAAGATTTATTGTTCATATCAACATTAATCCGATTTTGTATTTGTAAACATTAAATAATAATATGGTTGAGTTTGGAAAAATTAACTGTTTAATTAGCTGTGACTCTAGATACGTTTATTAAGGGTTGGAATAACAGGATTCTGTGTTTTTAGGTAGAATTTGACGATGAAATAACAACTATAGGACATACACTGGACAATTTTCAGTCAATATGTGAATTTCTTACGAAAAGTCCCGAATTGAAAAAAGTATTATCTTTGGTAAGTATATCTTTAGTAAAGGGTATCAAATAACTAAAAATTTCTTCCTAACTTTAGTATAAAAAAAAATTGGCGCCGGGAGGCACGTATAGCCGCCCATACTAAAATATGTTAATAAAAAGTTGGTAGGCAGTTCTTTCAGTTTCAAAGTAAAGGAATTTTTCCAATTCGGCGGTTATTTCGCCTATCCGCCACCTGGGGTCGCGTCCGATGCGAGTTTGGAGTTCTTCACACGGATTTTCTCAAAAACGGACTACGGAACCACGGAATATCTCAAAAACTGCGACTTTGATTGATTTTGATGTTATTACAAATTTTGTTGCAAATATTATTCCTAATCTTAAATTGAAAACCGCGTTTCGCTAGCTACCTACTGTAATTTTGGAGTTACGGTTTTTTAAAATTTTTAACCCATACCCCCTTACCAACCCCCACCCCCACCAAAAACTAATGGCCAGATTCTCGGGTGTCACAGTATTTTTGTGCCAAATTTGGTTAAAAGCGGTTCAGCGGTTTTTTAGTTATCGTGTTACAGACGGACAGACAAACAGACAGACAGACAGACAGACAGACAGACAGACACCATGAAAATATTTTGTATTTAGGTCATTTATGACCCAAATAACTGATTTTGAGTGAAATTAAAAAAACTTTTTTTTGCCGATTCTACTACCATAGTATATGGAAACTAGTAGATTTACTCCTTGTCAAATCCTTTATTCTTTTTCTGCCACTTTATATGACCTTGTTCTCGCCTCCCGTGACCACTGACGTAGCTGTATAGTTGTGGTCTATTAACTAGGCAAAGTATAGTCGTGGCACTCGCCGTAGTTTCACAGATATGTATTTAGAAAAATATGAGTTTCCAATAAAATAAAATAAAATAAATTGATCATCGAGTAAAAACTTGCCTGAAAACAGAATTATTTCACATTTCGTGTAGGTAACAATTCTTCTGTATCTGAAAATCTTCTGATGGGAAGAAATGTGGAAAATATATATAATGACATATTTTTATATTATTATCTATTTCAGAGATTTTCTACAATTTTTTTTTGATTTAAAACAAGTTTAATTTTCTATAGATAACTGGATTCTAAAAAATTAAAGCACACTCTGGTGTTGCCATTCTATTTCTTATTTACTAAAACTTTGGTTAAAAACATTATATATGAAAAGTGGCAAAAAACTAGAGTGAATATAACTTTATTAATACTTAGCTATGTTTTCTTAAACGTGACAAGGACACCAGAATAAATTCGTGTAGAAAAATTTACTTCATCGTATACAGGGTATTTTTTATGGCGTCACCAAAATCGTAATATTTAAAATGTTGTATTTCATTTTTTTTAAAGCAACACCTTGTATATTATTTTTCTTTCAGATGTAGAATTAAAAAGTGAACATTTTTTGTATTTAAAGTGTTTCTCTAAATTTGCGTTTTGCAAATATTTTCTGTATTTCATTACATATGGGATTTTCAACGATAAAATATCAGACAAAGATCATATTAGGTGGCTTTGATAAAAATTTACTGTTGAAAGAGCTATATGTAATATAATACTGCGAATATCTGCGAAACCGTTAAAAATGTAGAGAAACACTTTAAATAAAAAAATGTGCACTTTTAATTCTGCATCTGATCGAAAAATAATATACAGAATGTTGCATTTAAAAAAATTGAGATATACCATTTTAAATATTCCGATTTTGGTAACGCCATCGCCATAAAAAATATCCTATATAGAATAATGTATATAGAATGATGTAAAATAATTAAAAAAAAATTAACTTTACCATAACTTTTTTTCTGACACCCTGTATATAACAAAATATTTTAGGATACGACCCTTTATAAACCTTGAAACATATGAAAAACTTTTTTCACATCTTCGACAAGAACGACGATATTGGACTTCCTCGCAATAATGGGCCACCCTGTATATTTACGGTGGTTTATAGCTAGGTGTGGCACTTTTCTTCCCTCAAATATAAACTCAATATTTTGTCTATAATATTTTAAATATTGTTATATTACGACCACTTATAATAAAAAATAAATAAAATAAAAAAAACATAAAAAAATACAGTCCACTAAATTTATAATAGATTATGCTATTATAAAATTCTTTCATTTAAAAAATATGAATAATTTGCGGAGACTTTAGATGTACAAAATATTTACTCTAAAATTGTTTCAAAAACCAATTGATATAAATTATCTCGTAAATTATAATTGGAATGAAAATTTTATGGCAAATCCCCTGACCAAAGAATATTTTCATGCGCATATTTGAGAAAACCTGTATATCTAAAAAACTATTTCTAAGATTTGCCCACATGCTAAAAAAATAATAACATTTAATTAATTACATAATATCTCAGCTTCTAAAATAAACAAATATAATTAAATGTTTATTGATAATTACTATCAGCTTGCCGATTTACATCCGATGGAAATCTAAAAAAACTCAAAGAACAATTTTTTGAATTATTACTACAGTTAATAGCAGCACACAGTAAAGCACTCATTTTTTGTCAATCCGTCTCTGTGCTGGGACGCAACGCTCGAACCTCGCAGCTCGACGGACGGAATTCAACTGAAACACTTTGCAAGCTGCCGATATTCGACAGCTTGCAAAAACTGGCAGAAAATATTTGCGAGAGTGCAACTACTCTTTTCCTTAAACTATGCTATAGTCTATAAAATGAATAACTTTGAATTTTGACCGTTATTTTTTACCAACATAGCAAATATAAAATCCCTCTATCAAAAAAGTTACTGATATTCTTTAAATTGAGTGCCTGAACTAGCCTGAACGAATCAGATAGGTAACTCTTTTTACTTTCGTGAAATAGAAAAGGAAAATAATAAAACAAGTGACAATTCTTCCTCTTCTTGCAAAAATCAACACGAAATGTCATAATTGACAAAAGTAAAATGTCATCAGCTTTTGACATTTCTAAATATTAGACCAATGCCGTCTCTATTAGAACAGCCACGAGCGAGATTTATGACGTCACGCTAGTTAGATAATACGGATTAATAAATATGTTGGAGAATACATGGGAAACATAATTATTCCTCGTATTTTTGGTTTGTATTTTAAAAATGATATAGTTTACATGAAATATACATAATATACAGTTAATAAATACAATATAATATATACCGATTTATTGTAATAAATACTTTGGCTAATAAACATGAACCATACAAATGCAGCAAATGTTTTACAATATAAAAATAATGAATAGGTGGTACATAAGATAATGGGTAAAATGTAAAATATATTTTAAATTTTGGGGTTCGAAAATCAATCTAATTTAACAAAAAACATTCAATATCTACTAATAGTGATGTATTATTATTTGCATTCACAAAATTTATTTATATATTATAATATTTACTGCAATTAATAAACTAATATAAATTTGTCAAAAGATGACCACATATTTTTTTAAATTATTATTCTTAACACAAAAACTATCTACATTGACTATGGAGTACGATTTCAGTCATATGTAAAACATTTGCTGCATTTGTATGGTTCATAGTTTATCTGCCAAAGTATTTATTAATATAAATAGGTATATATATTGTATTTATTAACTGTATATTATATATATTTCATGTAAACTATATCATTTTTAAAATACAAACCAACAAATCGAGGAATAATTATGTTTTTCATGTATTCTACAACATAGTTATTAATTTGTTGTATCTAACTAGTGTGACGTCATAAATCTCGTTGCTAGGCTGTTCTATTAGAGACGGCATTGCGTCAGCATGGCCGCAAGTTGCTAACCTAATAAAATTAACACTAGAAAAGCCCGCGGGAACTGTCAAATTCAAAGTTATTCGTTTTACAGACTATACTACCATACCTCTTGGTAAAATTGTATCATCGTCATCTTTGGTTAGAAATTATATATTTTCAAGTTTTGGCAAATATGTGCTTCTTTTGGAGTTATGTACCCCTACTTCAAGAATTTTTTTTTAATAAGGGCTTTAATCCTTTGTGTGTCTCGAAAAAAATCCTTTATGGGTATTTCGCCACCGCACTGCAAGAAAATCTACAAAATAAAATAGTTATTTTTTGTAAACACTTCTGGCGTTAAACCTAAACGGACGTTGCTTTAAATATCCATAAAGGATTTTTTTGGAGAGATGAATCCGCCACATAGGTATAGACATTTTTTATCCTTTGTGTGGAAAATTCTTTGCCAATGCACATTTTTATTAATCTTATACTCTGTAATGCTATTTGACGATAGCTATGTTCTGTGTTGTTCTCCATCGACCATTGGTGTTTTCCTCTAGTTCTACTGCTTAATCCATTTCTTATATGATTTGACATCCTTATCCTTTTTTTAATTAACTATGTTACAAAACATTTCAGGTTTTAACACTAGGGAATTACATGAACGGTGGCAACGTAGCTCGAGGCCAAGCCGATGGATTCGGACTCGATGTCCTACCCAAACTCAGGGATGTAAAGAGTGCTCAAGCCGGAGTAACTTTACTTCACTTCCTAGTTAATACTTACGTAAGGAGGTGCCAAGAGGACGACAAACCCCCTCCCCTACCTGTACCCGAACCAGGCGATATAAGACGAGCCATGGCGCTGGATTTTGACAGTTTGAGGGGGGAGCTTAATCTACTCAAAAATAAACTTCAAGGTTGGTAACAAGTAGCACCTAAAGTGTTTATTTAGTATTATCTAAATTTGTAAGCACAATTCAACAATTTTGTTACAAATTGTTAGTTATCAATATTAGACTAGATTATTAATATTGGGGCATGACCGGGTGTTGCATCGTCGGACGTGACATAGGAAATCCCATGTAAATTTTAAAGGGATCAGTTATTGGCTTCCCTAATTATTTTAGAGAATAATTCTATTTAGGTTTATTAAAGAGCACTAAAACCCACATTCAAAAGAATAACTTTAGATATTTTTGATTAGCTCGTTTACGAGTTATCGCCGATTTCTTTTTAAATATTTCTCCTTTCTTATGGCCCTGTATTTACTTATGACCACCAGTCAAGGTAAAATATAACTGTCAAATGAAGTAATAAGTTATTGAATATTGTAATAATACTATAATTAACATTGTAATTGATTACTTTATTTTACTTTGATTCATATTAATTTGTATTTATAAATACATCTTTAAGATTTCCGATGTAGGAATGAGGTTTCAATAATAATAAAGCACTAAATTGGTAAATTTCTGAAATGACAACTTCATTTGACAGTTATCTTTTACCTTGACTGGTGCTCATAAGTAAATACAGGGCCATAAGAAAGGAGAAATATTTAAAAAGAAATCGGCGATAACTCGTAAACGGGCTAATCAAAAATATCTAGTTATTCTTTTGAATGTGGGTTTTAGTGCTCTTCAATAAACCTAAATAGAATTATTTTCAAAAATAATTAAGGAAGCCAATAATTGACCACATTAAAATTTACATGGGATGTCCTATGTCCCGCTCGACGATGCAACACTCGATATATTTCTGTAATAATTATAATTACTTTGCAATTGCACGATATGATATTCTCTACTAATTAAAAAAAATATATTCAAGTGCACTGTTTTAGATTTACTTAGTAATCGAAATGGTAGATTATTCTTTTACAATAATGATGCCAAAGCAAACGTATTAGGGAAGGCTTGTAAATGAAGATCTTTTTTATATTATATCTAAAATTATATAGGGGATATTATCGATGGTCATTTCATTGCCAACTGGACGCCGTTTTTATATCGTACGGCTATTACTTAAAAGAATTTATATATATTATGTAACAATATATTTCAAGCTAGATAGAACTTCCTATAGTTCAGTCATTGGGGATCAAAAAAGGGGCCTGCTTGGAAAAAATTCTTTAAGTTTTGAAACTTTGCAGGTTTATAGGTTATGGGGTCCCTAACTAAAATCCATAAAATGCCCATTTCCACTTGCCGCCATCTTGCCAAGATGGCGCCCAAAATTGGTATTTTGTAAATATCTCGAAAACTATGCATTTTTCGCAAAAAATTTTGAAGAGAGCAAAATTAAAGAGAATAAAATTTCCTATAAAAAAGATTCTATGGAAATTTTTGCTAAACTCAACCGTTTAGGCACAAAATCCCTGGAAACTTTGCGTAAAGTATGATATACATATGTATAGTCGATTTTCTGAAATCAAATATCGATTAGGGTTCCCTAAAAACTAGTTTTAGTTTAGTTTCTTCAATTTTGTCATGAAACAGTGGCGTATCATTAATTCGCTCATTAATTTATGAATAATTAACTGTCGTGCTGGACAGCATTCATTGCGAACTTACCACCAGGTTCAGAATTGGTCTGGTTGTACCAAAGATGCCGAAGAATGGGGTTGGAAGAAAACAAAAACAGGCCTTACTCCAGTCACAACGTTGATAGATCCAGCTCCAAAATGCCTATTGGCATTTTTATCCTGTAAATGCAAAACCAACAACTGTGGTAAGGCCTGCGGATGCAGAAAAGCAGGATTAAAATGTTCAATGATATGTGCATACTGCAATGGGAAATCCTGTGACAACGTCACTGAAGTGTCACTCGACGAATCCGGTGAAGAGGAGTTGGACTTGTCTGTAGATATCCCTCTGGCGGCTGAAGATGAAGAGTTGGACGAATTGAGAGACCACCCTGCTGAGCTCAGCACAGCAGACACGATCGACTTTGACATCAATGGCCAGGTCCGTCGGGCTTGTGCAGATAAGTTAAAGTTTTTAATTTACCTAGTGGAGTAGGCCTCCGGGGAGACCACGTTAAAATAAACACGCCATGTACTTACTCTTGGGTGGTGTGGAAACAAGTACACATTTTCTTCTTGTTCTTCTTCTTCTTCTTCTTTTAGAAGGCGTATCGCCTGTTTAGTTCCGGTTTCCTCCTCGTCTAAGCAACTCTTGCGAGGTTGACTGCCAACTGTCTTGCCAACGTTTAGGTGGTCGTCCAGTAGGTCTTCTGCCATGGGGTACGTTGTTGCGAATTATTATGGCCATTCTGTCGGGGCCCATCTGGTTCCATTCTCTTCTTCTCTGCCTTATCCATCTGACAACGTCGTTTGTTTGGCACTTTTCTCTTAAGTCTACATTTCTCTGTCTGTCCCTCAATGTGTATCCAGTTATCATTCTTAAGGTCTTCATTTCAGTAGTTCGTAGGATTCTCTTTGTTACTGATGTTTCAGCTCTGGTTTCCGCACCATATGTCATCACTGGTCGTATGCAGGTTTTGTATATTCTTGACTTACATTCTGTACTCAAATGTTTGTTTTTCCATATGGGATATTTAAGATGTCCTGATATTGCGGCAGCTTTATTGGCTTGTTTTCTCCTTCCAGGAATCCTGAGTTGTAATTTTGCATCCGAGGTATTCGAATGACATTATCTGATCAATGGTTTTGTCTTTTATTACCAATTTGCACCATAGAGGCTCCTTTGTAATGGTCATGCATTTAGTCTTATTTGTGGAAATTTGCATGTTAAGTTTTTCTGCCTGTCTGTTAAAAGCTTGTAGCATTCTTTGGAGGTCGTCTTCTGACTCTGCAATAAGTACTGCGTCATCGGCATAGCATAATATGTTTACTTTATGCATTCCCATTCGATATCCTAATCCAGTATTCTTGACGGTTTTTATTACTTGATCCATGATTGTGTTGAATAACAGAGGGCTGAGACTGTCGCCTTGGCGAATACCAGTTGTAGTTCGAAGATGTTGCGTTAAAGTAAAATTTGTTCTTATTTGGGTTGTTGTGTTTGTGTTTAAGTCCTTGATAAGTTCTGTGAGTTCTTTCGACACATTACTGCTTTCCAAGATGGTGATGTCTTTTAGTTAGACTCTATCAAAGGCCTTTGTTAAATCTATAAAACATAGATAGGCTGGAGAGTTATATTCTAAGGATTTTTCAACTAGTTGCCTGAGTATGAATAGTGCATCGGTAGTTGATCGGTTTCTTCGGAATCCTTGTTGTTCCTCGCTTATTGGCACTATTGAGGAGATTTTGTCCGCATTGATCTTAGTCAGAAGTTTTAGCGAGGTGCTCAGTAATGTTATTCCTCTATAGTTTGCTGGGTCTGTTTTATCTCCCTTTTTAAAAATGGGTATTGTTATACTTTGTTTCCATTCTTCTGGTATTTTCTTATGTTGTAATATAATGTTAAACAGTTTTGTGTATTCCTCTATGGTAGCCGTGCCTGCGTTTTTTATTAGCTCGTTTGGTATTTTATCTTGATTAGGAGATTTTCTATTTTTAAGTTTCCTTATTGTCTCTTCTACTTGCTTGTAAGTGATTTGCGCATGATCTTCTATATTATCTCTTTGGCTTGTCTCTTGTGCTTCCATTGTCAATAATTAAAATTAATTATTCATAAATTAATTAGCGAATTAATGATACGCCACTGTTTTATGACAAAATTGAAGAAACTAAACTAAAACTAGTTTTAGTGAACCCTAATCGACATTTGATTTCGGAAAATCGACTATACATATATCATATTTTACGCAAAATTGTAAAACTTTCAGGGATTTTGTGCCTAAACGGTTGACTTTAGCAAAAATTTTTATAGAACCTTTTTTATAGGAAATTTTATTCTCTTTAATTTTGCTCTCCTCAAATTTTTGCGAAAAATGCACAGTTTTCGAGATATTTATAAAATACCGATTTTGGACGACATCTTGGCAAGATGGCGGCGCTGGCGGTTAAAGTCTGGAAATATGCATTTTATGGATTTCAGTTAGGGACCTCAAAACCCATAAACCTGGAAAGTTTCAAAACTTCCGGACTTTTTTCCAAGCAAAAATCCACAATGACTGACCTATTATAGCTTTTCAGAAAATAGTCATTACTTATTCATAATTTTTGTAATCCAATGTATTATTTTGTTTTAGAATGCGAGAAAAAGACTGAAAAAATTATTACCAACTCTACTCCAGAAAATTTACAACCTTTCAAGGAAAAAATGGAAGCGTTCCTGGAAAAATCGCAAACGCAATTGTCAACGGAATGCGAAAATCTGGAAGAGTGTCACAAACTGTTTATTTCAACTATGAAACTGTACTTATTCAAACCAAAGACAGGAACCTTGGAGAGTTTTGCCCCGGGGGGATTTTTCGAATTTTGGTTACCGTTTTGTGTGGATTTTAAGGATATTTATAAAAAAGAAATTGTCAAAGTACAAGTAGAAAGGTAAATTAATTTGTGTTTTGTCTTTTGCAATTTTTATATTTTTTATTTATTACTTACTATCTTTGGTAGAGGCGCTAAGACACATCCCTGCCTAACTCAAATTATTATTAATATCATTTTTTGCAAACAATAAGAAGATTTTATTGCTGTTTCAGAGCACAGGAATTGAAGCGTAAAGAATACCACGATGCCAACTCTACAAAAGAAAGGGAAAATGGCCTAAAAGCCAAATTCAAGAAAGCCAAAGCCAGATTAAAAGACAAAGAAGAAACAGGGAAAACCAGCTAATGTTGCCTATTTGTCGCTTACAAAAAGCGGAGAACTATACTTAATATTACAAAAAAAAATGATTCACCTGTTGCTAAGATACAAATTACCTATATAATATACGTTGGATCTGATTACAGATATTGTTTCGAGAGTAGAGAAGATGAAAGAAAGATAAATAATGAAGAAAGCTTTAACATTTTTTTGATTTTAAACGTCGAATATTATTACTAGTTGTAGCTAGCGTTAGAAATGCTGCGGCGCGATTTTTTGCTATTTTACTAGTTGTGTTAATTTTATTTAATGTTTATTGTTGTAAATACTACGTTTTTTTAATGACAATTATAAATAAAATGTCAAATAACAAGTCGTTTTTTTTTGGCCGGATTAATATGGGTTTTTTTGACTCGCACTCAGCGGATCGATTTAGTGTCGAATCAAAATAATTCACTTAAATTTTGACCTCTTTAACTCAAACGGTTTTCGAGATTTTAAAAAAAACTATTTTTTCAATTTTATTTTTATTTTTATAGTAAAATTCGAAATTAATTAATGTTGATTCTTTTTTCTATTTCTTAGAAGTCTGAGAAATGAAAAAATAATATGATCATGATTCTTAAACGAAAAGCGAAAAACGATTTTTAGCGGAGGAAAGAAAATTAAAATCTTCATTTTTTAACCTTCGTGAAATATGTCACTGACTAAAAATCATCAGAAAATGTCTTTTACACTCCTTTACACTCAGGATTTTTTTAGAAATTTTTGAAGTGGTGGAATGATATGAAAAAAAAATAAAAACTATTTTTTTTTCTAAAATCTTCTCGGACTGATTTTTTTATAGTAATCTTTATGTTTATTTCTGGCAAGGATGTATTATTAATGAAAAAATATTTTCTACTCACTTTTTTAAACTAAACAAAAATATAAAATAATAATAGCTCCCCTATACAGGGTGCTACAAATTCGAGGTACGAGCATTGGTATCTCGGTAACCGTAATAGATACGAAGATGGTTAAATTGGGGCAAAGTTGCGCTTTGGGATGTTCACCAAGATGTCATCAAAAAAGATTTAAAAATTTCAAGGATTGCTGAGTTTCTTGGAAAAAACGGATTTTTTTGAAAATGAATTTTATTTTTTCCTGTCGTTACTTATAAGAAAATCAAAAAACTAATTGCATCTGATATTTTTTTTAGATTTTCAAATTAGCTGATAATTTGTGAGATACAGAGGCCAACTTAATTTTTTTAAATAGGGACCTGCATTTTTTATTTCAGATTTTGAAAGAACTCGGTCTCCTGAGTACAATGGTATGCCACATTTAATATTTTTTTTGTTTCAGACATTTGAACACAATTTATTTAAACTAATTTCAAGTCCGGCTCTGTTTTTTTTTAAATATTTAATCTATTCATCGTTACAATATCGATAAACTTTCAAACTTAAAAATGACCTGGGGTAAAACATTGAATAGTGAAAATCAAATGCAATAAAATAATAAAAAATAATATACAAATGAATACATTACTTCACGTCATTTGTAAAAGTAAAATCAATACATCTCAACATTTAGAATAAAGAGTACAAAATGCTTTCGGAAGTATAAGAAGAAAGTTTGAATAAATAAAATTGAACGAAAAATAAATTTGTGAAATAGGGAGGGTTGTAACCCTTTCGTAGAGCATTAGAAACTAGTTTGTAGAAGTTTATTTATTTATAATAACTACGATGAATATTACGCATATTATTAGATCGCACACTGAGATTTCAAATTCACAATAAAACAAATAAAAATAATATCTTTAAATTGCTGACCTGGATATAATTTATTTGAATCTTCCAATTGGCTCGATTTTCCTTATTCAGTGTCAATTAGCGCTGATTAATATGTATATTACGATGAATATAATCAGATAATAAAAAACAGGGTCGGACTTGAAATTATTTTAAATAATAATTATATAGTTTTTTGTTGTTAAGGTACCAAAAACAAAAAAAAGTATAAAGTGTGGCATATCATTGTACTCAGGAGACCGAGTTCTTTCAAAACCGAAAATAAAAAATGCAGGTCCGTATTTAAAAAAATTAAGTTGCCCTCTGTATCTCACAAATCATCAGCTAATTTGAAAATCTAAAAAAACTATCAGATAGCCCTAATAAAGTTGCTATGAGAATGTGCAATTAGTTTTTGATTTTCTTTAAAGTAACGACAGGAAAAAATAAAATAGATTTTCAAAAAAATCCGTTTTTTCCAAAAAACTCAGCAATCCTTGACATTTTTGAAACTTTTTTGATGGCATCTGGGTGAACATCACAAAGCGCAACTTTGCCCCAATTTAACCATGTTCGTATCTATTACGGTTACCGATATATAGTCTATAAAATGAATAACTTTGAATTTTGACCGTTATTTTTTACCAACATGGCAAATATAAAATCCCTTCGTCAAAAAAATTACTGATATTCTTAAAGTATTCTTTAAATTGCGAGTGCCTGAACGAATCAGATAGGTAACTCTTTTTACTTTCCTAAAATAGAAAAGGAACATAATAAAACAAGTGACAGTTCTTCCTCTTCTTACAAAAATCAACACGAAATGGCATAATTGTCAAAAGTAAAATGTCATCAGCTTTTGACATTTCTATATATCAGACCAATGCCGTCTCTAATAGAACAGCCTCGGAGCGAGATTTATGACGTCACGCTAATTAGATACGGATTAATAAATATGTTGTAGAATACATGGAAAACATAATTATTCGTCGTATTTTTGGTTTGTATTTTAAAAATGATATAGTTTACATGAAATATACATAATATACAGTTAATAAATATAATATATACCTATTTATAGTAAAAAATACTTTGGCAAATAAACTATGAACCATACAAATGCAGCAAATGTTTTACAATATACAAATAATGAATAGCTACATAAGATAATGGGTAAAATGTAAAATATATTTTAAATTTTGGGGTTTGAAAATCGATCTAATTTAACAAAAAACATTCAATATATACTAATAGTGATGTATTATTATTTGCATTCACAAAATTTATATGTACATATATTTTGCAAGTATCAATGTTCGAAAAATTATATTTGCAAATAATACAATATCATAGAAAAAAAACGCTGATTAAGTTTTCATTAGGTTTTTCATTATTTTTTTTGGTTTAAAAAAAACGTTTCGGCTAACATTATAGCCTTCATCAGTGTTGTGTCATATAAAAAAAATAATGTCGAGTATAATCCAAAAAATTGCATATAAAATATTCACACCACATACCGCATAATGTTTACTGCAATTAATAAACTAATATAAACTTGTCAAAAGATGACCACATATTTTTTAAAATTATTATTCTTAACACTAAAACTATCTACATTGACTATGGAGTACGATTTCAGCCATAGTCAAATATAAGGAATAATTATGTTAGGGTAACGTCATAAATCTCGCTCCGAGGCTATTAGAGACGGCATTGCGTCAGCATAGCCGCAAGTTGCTAACCATTTGCTAACCCAATGACTAAAGAATCCAAGGACAAATAACATCCGAGAGCAAATTGTGACGATGCCATCAAACAGTGCCGTGGCACATATTTTTCTTAACCTAGCTGTTTGAAGAAAACGCTAAAAAGTTGGAGTGGACTGTTTATTTACCTATAAAACGTAACTCCTGGCTCTTTCTTATCGCTGCTGCTTTTACACTTGAAAGCTGAACAACTAATCACCATTATAATAAAGTTTATACAAAGTTTACTACACATAAACTATTAAAAATGACTAAAATTGTCGCTGGTGACCAAATGATGACTCATTGTTTGCCACCAAAACAAAAAAAAGGTCACAAATTCTGCTGCAGCCCGTATAGAGGCGTTACATGTCCTTATATTCTTTAGTCATTGTGCTAACCTAATAAAATTAACACTGGAAAAGCCTGCGGGAACTGTCAAATTCAAAGTTATTCGTTTCACAGACTATACCAATAATGCTCGTACCTCGAATTTGTAGCACCCTGTATACAGGGTTGTTCACCACATACGACACGGAGTATTGTAGCTAAAGAATTAGATTTTTGATCATATTGTTCCACCACTTCAAAAAATTGTATTTTTTAGACTGTCGTCAGCTACTGGATACGTTTATATCTACCTTTAAAGACAAAATGAATGATCCAGCTCCACCTAAGTTTGTTTATATCCTCTTTCCATAATCTTTTTTGTTCAAAGTTTTTACATTTGAATTTTCAGTATGAGTTATTTAACTAAAAATTAGACTTGGGGGTATATAACACAATAAAAATAACTGTTTTATCTTAATCATAGACATTTATTTACAAAAACTAAAAACAAAGGTGCTTACAAGTGTATAGTTTCTTATTTACAACATTAAAATTGCGTCTCGGATCTTAATGCTAAGCTTACAATATATACGAAATAGTCTTTTGCGTCTTATGTACACATCAAAAACATTTACAAAAAGAAACAAATTCATCCCAAATAATAAATAGAGCTTCTACATATCTCTCAATTTCTTTTTGCGCTTATTTTTACAATACCAACAATTATTAATATCATCAAGAAAAAAATAATAGGAAAGAAAAAAATCAGTCTTTTAAGCATCTTTTAAGGATTAATTTACAATAAATTTAACTCGGAAAATATTAAAAGAGACTTAAAAGCTTAAAATTTAAACTGAGATCAAAATAAAGAAAAAAGAAAATACCATGCAGCACTTTCAACATATCAAAAATATAATTGTACAACATAAAATTCAAACTTTCCGTTTTTATATACTTTTAACAGCTTGAATTCGTGAATTTGTTTTGGCACAATCAAAATATAGAAATATATTTTATATCATTTTTAACTACTATATAAAATAGGCACAATAATTTTTTCTTTATAAATATGTATGTTAGCAATTTACAATAGAAGAACTTTACGAACAATAAAAATAATTAAGTATCGAAAAATAAATTAACATAATCCTGATATTTTGTATACACCGACCGGCACGAAAAACGGACACCTAGAAATTTTGATGTATTTTAAAGTTTTATATATCGTGTTATAGTGGACCGATTTTGATGATCTTTTAAGCAATTTGTAGCTAGATTATTTGACTTTTTTAGTATATCTTTCTAAATTGAAAATGAAAGTTCCCATCTGTCAATTATACGAGGGAAAAGAAAATGTTGATATTTTGGTGATAGTTTGAAACACCCTGTGGAGTATGTTGAGATAGCAGGGAACTTAAAAATTATTTTGTCGACTAGGTACATCCTTTCTCAATAATTTGTTTTTTAGATCATTTCAATAGCTATATTTTTGTTGGAGATATTCGCTTTTGAAGAAGACACTAGCATATTTTCGTAATTTTTACATTAAATTACTTAATAATGCTTAAAAAATCATCAAAATCGGCCCAGTAGAACAATAATTATTTTTTATACAAGACGATAAAAAGTAGTATTTTATCGCCGACCGAAAAGATTAATTCACGAGCGATAAAATCGCTCGTGAATTAATTTCGGAAGACGGTAATACAATTTTATCGTCATGTATAAAACAATATTTTTTTCCATAGCAAGTTACGTTTTAAAAAATATTCAGAAATTATTATTTCAAGTAATTTATTACGAGTAGAAAAATGATTGTGCTGGGTTGGCGTTGCTTTCTATGTAATTTGACAAATAAATAAAGCTGTCTCTTTAGTTGTCAGTTTTGAGTCGATATTTTTTTAATTCTCTTTCGTGTCGATTGCTGATTGAATTGGAGCCCGAAATAACTCAAAACGAAATAAGTAAATTACCAACAGAAATTCGGGCTTAAGCCGGAGTCTCATGCATCCGAAATCCGATGACACGACGATCCGACGGTGCTCCTATTGGTCGAAATATTTTGACAACAATTTTTATCCGATAATTTTAACTAATCATCCGACGTCGTATAAAGTTAAATTTTGTTTAACTTATCCTCGCTGTTAAAGTATCATTTAATCTACCCTTGCGGTTAAAGTATTATTTTATCTACTATTTTTGATAGATATAAGGCAATTTTAAGAGTTGCTATGGAAAAAATATATTAGGTAAACTTTAAAATACATCAAAATTTTAAGGTGCCCATTTTTCGTGCCGATGATTGTATATTTTTAGTTTGAATTTTTTAAACAAAAACAATATTCAAAGAAAAGTTCTTCTATCTCTTAATTTTCATTCAAACTAAATTTTCTACAAGAAAAGAAAATTTGAACAAATAACGTCGCTCGAAAATCTTAAATTCCACATATAAAAAATATAGAAACTAAAATTATATTTAAGTACATAAATCTATTTGTACATTCACAAAACAAAATCGATAACAGAGTAGCACAACAATAATTTATTGCAATTCAAATCACATTTCAGAAGAAACACTCATTCGTTCGTGACTCCTATACCGCTTAAGTACGTTTCGGCCAAGCATGCACCCGTCATCAAGCTCAACAACACTGTCAAAAAACATTGAAAGTGAACTAACTGTCTGTTTCAATACTTGTCATGTTAGAGGGGGACGATTTGTGTGTTTGAGTGATAATATTATCATGTCAAAATTTAATTATCAGATAACTGAAGTAATATCATTTATGAAAAAATCTGTGATGTATACTTTTAAACAGTCAATTTTCCAAAAAAAAAGTGTTTATGAAAGCTTTTTTTGGTACTTCAAGCATGTACGTTTACAAAATACTCTGACAAAGTGTTATAATGTTATTTACAGTTAAAAAAATAGTGTTTTAAATGATATGTATCAGTAAAAGTGCCAGAGTATCAGATTGTTTAACTTGTATTCATATCTATTTTCCTTGTATATATGCTCTATTAGATTATGGAAAAAAGTGTCGTATATGATAATCAAATACTATATTGTGATATGTTTGGTGTATTATATAGTTATCGTTACGGATTCGGGTCACTAAGCTTTCAAAAACACAGTTTTTTGGTTTATTTGTTGTCACACCAGCTCTAATTGTTTTACATAATTTTTATTAGCTTTGTAAAGAATATAGTAATTAATACTTAGGTACAATATATAAATTTTAGTTTAGTAGAATTGTTTGATGTTTGTTAATAGAAAATTATTAATTATTTTAATTATTTATAAACGAATTATGAAATCACTTTGTAATTAGTAGATAAAATTAACAAAAAGTTTCTCAATTCTTAAGGAATATTTGAAATATTATACTATAGTTTATGAAACGAATAACTTTGAATTTGACAATTCCCGCGGGCTTTTCTAGTGTTAATTTTATTAGGTTAACTTGCGGTCATGCTAACGCAATACCTTCTCTAATAGAACAGCCACGGAATGAGATTTATGACGTCACTCTAGTTAGATACTACGGATTAATAAATATGTTGTAGAATACATGGAAAACATAATTATTCCTCGTATTTTTGGTTTGTATTTTAAAAATTGATATAGTTTACATAAAATATACATAATACACAGTTAATAAATAGAATATATATACATATTTATAGTCATAAATACCTTGGCAAATAAACTATGAACCATATAAATGCAGCAAATGTTTTACAATATACAAATAATGAATAGGTACATAAGATAATGGACAACATATAAAATATATTTTAAATTTTGGGGTTTGAAAATCGATCTAATTTAACAAAAAACATTCAATATCTACTAATAGTGATGTATTATTATTTGCATTCACAAAATTTATATGTATATTTTGCAAGTATCAATGTTCGAAAAATTATATTTGCAAATAATACAATATCATAGGAAAAAAGGCGTCAGCGATGGCTATGAAATAAAGATCGCTGTGATTACATATGTAAAATTAAAGGTTCGGGAAAAACGCTGATTAAGTTTTCATTTGGTTTTTCATTATTTTTTTTTGGTTTAAAAAAACGTTTCGGCTAATATTATAACCTTCATCAGTGTTGTGTCATATGAAAAAAATAGTGTCGAATATAATCCAAAAAATTACATATAAAATATTCACAACCTAACCTAACACCACGTAATGTTTACTGCAATTAATAAATTAATATAAACTTGTCAAAAGATGACCACATATTCGTATATTGTAAAACAATTGCTGCATTTGTATGGTTCATAATTTATTTGCAAAAGTATTTATTACTATAAATAGGTATATATATTGTATTTATTAACTGTATATTATGTATATTTCATGTAATTTATATCATTTTTAAAATACAAACCAAAAATACAAGGAATAATTGTTTTCCATGTATTCTACAACATATTTATTAATCCGTAGTATCTAACTAGCGTGACGTCATAAGTCTCGCTTCGAGGCCGTTATATTTGAGACGGCATTGGTCTGATATTTAGAAATGTCAAAAGCTGATGACATTTTACTTTTGACAATTATGACATTTCGTGTTGATTTTTGTAAGAAGAGGAAGAACTGTCACTTGTTTTATTATTTTCCTTTTCTATTTCACGAAAGTAAAAAGAGTTACCTATCTGATTCGTTCAGGCACTCAATTTAAAGAATATCAGTAATTTTTTTGACAGAGGGATTTTATATTTGCCATGTTGGTAAAATAACGGTCAAAATTCAAAGTTATTCATTTTATAGACTGTAGATTTATAATTTTTTTGAAAATGCCATGATCATGACAATTGTTTTTAAAAAACTAGTAAGGTAGATGAATAATTATAACTGTTACCATTTTGAGTAACTTTAGCTTTTAAAGCATTATATTATGGCACTATCGTCAAGATAATCAAAATAATATGGCGGTCAAAAAAGATAATTTAATGCAGATAACTAAATATTCATTTTGAACTGCATCCTTGACATTCTAAAACTGTATTAAAGTATAAAAAAAATATAAAGTTAATATGATATTTTAGTATTGGAGAAAAAACTCTTAAGAAATTTGTTCCAGTGGATCTTAACTTTTAAAAAAGTGTATATTTTTGTAGCAAATCCACAAAAATATGTAAATTTGTCGGAAATAATTTTTATAAAAAACTTATATAAAATTATCTAAAACAATAATTATTAGAGTGTGACTACGCAATTTTACGTATACATCACGAGATGAAACTCGAATTATTTAGGAACTTACGTCAAAAGCGAAGTTACACACCGTATGTACACACAAATATAAATCGTCTTTTCATCCAAAAATAACTCGAAAATTCACCGCTTATGGCGCTTCTTACGAAGGTAAACGAACACGTACGAACACCGTCGCTTCTTGTTTATTGGTCGAATGTTCTACACAGTTAGACAAAAAACAATTTAAACGTTCTAAACGATTATTTCCCGGATCACTCTGCGCGTGCGCGAGTTGGGTGTGGAGTAGCCGCTTTCTAGCGACTCCTCGTAGGCCAGTGACATGTGCTGGGGTGGTGGGGGTGGCTTGTCGTCGTCCATCTGTTCCATGAATGGGTCGGGGAGCCCCGGGGTGTCTCTATATACTGCGGGGGATTCTAGGCGTTTTTTCGGCTTGTGTACCTGAAAGAAATAAAGAGATTAATATTGTCGTTACACAATTAACAAATACTTAACAAATTAACGATACTAGTGAGGTGTCTCATAAGTTTTACAGAATTACTCGCGTATCTTTATCGATATATAAGATTTGCTATGACATTTGCTAAGTATGACTAAAAATCTAAAAAAAAAAAAAAAAAAAAAAACATTCGATCAATTTGTACTACCAGTTATGATCTATGCATGTGAAACCTGGATACTAAAACGGATATTATAAGGAAATTGCAGGTCGCACAACGCTCAATGAATCCAAGTGGTAACCAACTCAAGGCGGAACTCAAGAACTTGGAAGATTCCATCCGCAACCTGGAATGGAAATCTTGCAATGGTCTAAGACACTCGAAGAAGTTTCTGAGGGCATATGATCAAGAAAAATCACAGATCTTCCTGGGTCTGAGTAAGAACAATCTTCGGATTGTCACGGGGTTTTTAACAGGACACTGTCTCATCAATGAACACCTCAGTAGATTGAAACTAAGAAGAAACGGCGAATGCAGATTCTGTGGGGAAGATGGTGAAACACCAGTACACCTCATCACTGAGTGCGCCGAGACGACAACCATTCGTGCCATGAATTTTGGTACGACTGATATTGGAGATGGAGAACTACCCTCTATAAAACCGTCCCAGATACTGGCTTTTGTCAAAGCCCTGGGACTGTATGATGAGTTATGATTCAAGAAAGGGGGACACAATGGATCTGTAAGGTCGAAGTGAGTGATTAACCCCCCTCCCACTCATTCTAAAAAAAAAAAAAAAAAAAAAACGCTCAATGAAATGAAATATGCTGGAAATAATCAAGAAAGGCCGTAAAAGAATGGAGTAGATACGACAAAAGATCCAGGTAATAGATGTCATCAAATCCCTCAAGTGGCAATGGGTAGGACCCCTGGCAAGAAAGACAGAATGTTACCACAAAAAATATAGCATGGTACCCACGAGGAAATAAGAGGCCTAGAAGAAGACCAAATCTGAGATGGGACTATGATTTATATTAGCAAAATTAGCAGGGATAACTTGGGCCCGCATAGTCAACAATAGAGAACAATGAGCCCAACTACAAAGAGATTGTCTAAATATGTGAGGAAGGCTACACCATAATTAGAAATGGTTGAATAAGCTGAAAATGATGATGCTAATATCAAAGCGTATCATGTTTTGAATCATTATCTATTTTATTTTACCGAAAAAAGCACTAAATTAATGTTAACGACTACTAATAAAACTTTACATTCACTGATTTGCCACACTCTACAGGATAACGCTATGCAAGTTCAACAACTAATTTTGAAACACACCTTCACTTGTGAATACGTTTAAATTAGCTTTGCTTTTTGACTTCTAACAACTGCTTGTAATTTACTATCTCGAATTAACAGAATTAATAGAGCAGGTAGCTGAAATTTGACGTAAGAAAAAAAAATATAATTTTTAGAATCAAAACATCCAAAACAATTAGATGCGTATTAAAATTAAAAAAAAAATAGATAATCAACAAAAAAAGATTGAAACCAAAGCAATTAAAACTCATTAGAACAACTTCGCGTCGAATAGACAGGCACTCGGTAGCGACTAGACACTTGCTAGATGCTTTTTGAGGTAAATGAAGAAAACTATTTTAATTGTATTTCTGTTTTGCTATCGTTTTCTTGTAATTTTAAATCAAATTAAAGTCAAATTTTCCCTAGAAATCTCTAGCTCAGCAGCTCTTAGCTAAAACAGATCATTGAATATTTAGATGTCATTGATTTGATACTGACAGTTCATAATATCACAGATTAGGTATCCTATAAGTATACAGATAAAAATCTTGTCCCTAATTCGTGGTACGAAAATTGTTTTTTATGACGAGTGCAAACGAGTCAAATTTCCTGTGCGCAAAAATAAACTCACGTAAAATAACAATAAACAGCGTAATAGAGAGATATCGCTAAACCGAATAGCGTGCATGGACGTTAATAAGGCCAGGTGTTATTTCCTTTACGTGAGGTGGTAACTTTGAATTTAAAACTTTGAAATTGTTGTGTTTACTAGGTATTTTAAAACTAAAGGACCAAAGTGCTTATTTCCAGTGCTTCAACGTCTGCCAATGGGTTCAGGGCATCAAGCAACAAATTCTCTTAGAAGGGCTAAGTCGTCATCTGCTGTAAACCTAAGACTCTTTATAGGTTCTTTAGTATTGGAAGAGGTGGAATCCATATTTCGGGCCATATTTATTTAATTCAAACTAATTCCAGCTACTTAAATATCAAATTACCTAATAAAACTAAAGCAATAATTCAAAACAATTCAAACATAACCTAAAATAAAAGATCTCGCCGGCTGGCTCCGGTTGTCAAATATCCGCATATGCCCATTTGAGCAATTTTTAAACGTTATCAGAGGTTATTTAGAAAGAGCGCTTGGAGTGCGGTCAGGCGGTAACGTTATTAGCGAGTGTTGCGTTAAAAATTGACTCGCGCATATCGTAACCATGATAAGGTACGCGTAAATACTGGATGACGCTATTCGGTTTTCCGATATCTCTCTAATAACTGTGCCGGTCAGGCGCTGTGCACAATTTTAGAGGCCATAAGTGGGCGTGCTATATGCGCAAACTAGTCACCTAACTAGTGCCCGATTCCGAAAATTGGAACCACGAAAAACAAAGATTATAATCTGTATAATCTGTGATAATATTTACTCTGGTTTTATTATACAGGGTGGTCCGAACTGTATTCCGGAAACTTCGGCAGCATATTCTGCAGATAAAAATAAGTAAAAAAGTTCGCAAAGTTCTTTCAGAGATACAGGGTGTAGAAGTTTCATTTTTATTTCGATTTTTTCTAAATAATTTCTGAAGTAACGTCAATATTTGAATTGAAAATTGGTGGCTAGAAGTTTTTGACATAAGAAATTTGATTTTTATGTCAATATGACTCCTACTAGTAGAGGGCGCCACCTACATGTGTTTTAACTATTTTAAAGCGTAATAACTTTTTGTCCGTACCTGTATTAAAAAAACCGAACGAAAAAATATACATCTCTGACTTTTTACGTAAAAAATATCTCTTTGTAAAAATCGTTCCGAGCAACCGTTCTTAAGATATTTAGAATGGAAATAGTCAATACATGTCATTATTGACGAAAAATAAACAGGTTGAGTAGATAGTTATTTTACTAAAATAATAAATTTGCGAAATTTTTATTTTTTTAAATTAATCACAATTTTTTCTGCAAATAATGATGATAAAACAGTTTGTGTTGAACTTTTGGCACAAAAACATTTCAAATTTATGATTTCAGTCTAATAACTATTTAGTCAACATATTTAATTTATGTCAATGATGACAGGTATTGATAATTTCGATTCCAAATATCTTAAAAACCATTACTCGTAGCGATTTTTACCAAGAGACCTTTTTCACGTCAAAAATGTCGTAAATGTATATTTTTTTACTCAGTAGTTTTATACAGGTACGGACAAAAAGTTATTACTCTTCAAACCAGTTAAAAAATATGGAGGTGGCGCCCTCTACGAGTAGGAGTCATATTAACATCAAAATCAAATTTCTCATGTCAAAAAACTCCCAGATATCAATTTTCATTCAAATATTGACGTTACTTCAGAAATTATTTGGAAAAAATCGAAATAAAAATGAAACTTCTACACCCTGTATCTCCCAAACTAAGCATTTTAGGACATACATTTATACGAACTTTTTTTACTTAATCTGCAGAATACGCTGTCGAAGCTTCCGGAATATAGTTCGGACCACCCTGTATATGACTAAAAAGATTTAAAATATATTTTCTAATTTTTAGTATTATACACGGTCGATGATAGGAAAAATAAGGCAATAATTCCTGCTCAAAAAGCGTTATATAGATTAATCAGGTTTTTATTTGATGATGTTATCATAACTTGTTAGTCTATGATTTTCCGTTTATAATATTGAGTTTAAGCACGTTTTTTAATAATATTTACAAACAAGGTATAAAATTATACTAAAATTTAAAATTGTTACTGATCATATTTCATAAAAATCTATAAATTCAAAACATTTTGGCAATTTTTTAAATTATTTTGTATCTACCTGTGCGTAAGGATCCTGAGTCTGGGGGAACGGTGCGTAATCGTCATGTCCGCCATATTGGTCGTACACTTGAGATCCTCCATTAGCTGCCATTTTCAGTTGCCACAATGAGTCCTGTGAGTCCACACTTCCGTTTCCGGGTACAGCAGTTGTATAACCTGCATCTGAAAGTAGAAATCTCATTGATTAGTATGTAATCTTGTATTTGAAATCAATTCTAGATCTTACGGCAATCAAAATATCGTATAACATTAAAAAAACAATAAGGTATACTTTTTCAATAATTCAAATATTCTTACCAAGGTAGTTCCAGTCATTTCTAGGTTCTCCATAATGTCCGTACCCATTTTGTGTTGCGGCGTAGACAGCCTTTTGGTCTTCCAAGGCCAGCTGAAGGTCTAAGGCTTGATTATCGAGTCCAGGCGCATAGTATGGTGGGGGTGCCTGGTTCTGGAACAAAGGTGAATTCAACTGTAAACAACAAAAAGTTATTTAACAAAGAATCGAGGCAAAATAATAAGTAAGCAGCACAATTATAATAAGAGGTATTATATTATATTAAAGTTGTATTATTTAGAAATATCAAGGTAATATGTGAATGTGTTCAGGCTTTAAATCTAAGAAAACTTGTATAACCGAACAATAGTTGTAAAAAAATATCAACAAGAACTATAAACATGCTTGGCCAATTAAATAAAAGATACAAAGAGTAAAATATTTTCTAAAAACAACCAACATGAATTGAAAATGAAAAATGTTTAATTTTCTAACGCTTTATAATAATTGTTATTGCATAAACGGTTAAGAATGCCATGTATTATCAAAAAGGCATACAATTATCTTTATCATAAAATAAGATTAATTAAAAATAAATAAAATTTTGTTACTATTAAACGGGAAATGAAAGAGATTTGAATCAAAATAATTGCCTAAAATACTTTTAATAGACAAATTTTGTTAAGAACTCTGCTTGTTCTTGTCATTTTATTTGTTAATTTAAGAATACAACATTTTTAGATATTTTAAAAATTTTATATTAAAAATATCATGCCCTACATTTATATCCATTTACATTTTTCTAAATAATAAGCAATAACATTAAATAAGCCACAATGACCACGATAAATAAACACGATTTTACAACACAAAGCTTTTAAACTAATCAAAGCATACCGATCCTATGTATAAACCGGCTATACGGCGTTATTACTCTACTTACTATTATTGGTCACTCTCTTTTTAATGTACCCATATCCTTCTTGCCACCAAGAAGTACGGAAGAGCATTAAATAAAGCAAATAGCAGATATTTTATCACAAATCATACTTATTAACGCCTCATTAAATTTTTAAAATCAACAATTTAATTACCTGTTGTCCATTTCCGTTGGCTGGTATAATGGTGGGTCTCACTGAGTCCATTTCCAGGTCTTTGGCTTGCTGAGCTTTCTTTCCATGCTGAGCTCTTCTACACCTGCAGAATACCAAAAGTAGTCCAGCGCTGAGCAGAAATAGAGCGCATGTAACGATAATGACGATCAGTGTTGGTGTTGTCAACGATGAAGCTTCTCTCAAAGAATTTGCGTATCCCACTGTAACAAAAATATAATATAAAATTGTTTTAGGAATAAAATTTCATTTAGCTTACATTCAGCTTCGACAAATTCACCACAGTGGTCTCTGTGAGTGCTTAGGCATAATTTGACACGAATTCTCGGGCTATATTCATCCATTCCTATAGGTTCGTCGACTAAGGATCGACCCAAGGCATTTCCAAAGCTTCTGGTCATCATTTTGTCTAAACTTCGTTCTTGGTAAGTTGGTGTCATTCCAGAAACCTAAGGAACAAACGTATTATGTACATTTTCATCAAATTTCCTTTATTTAAAGTACAATTAAAAATGTTTACTTTTAGTTACTGTTACGTTAGTCGAGACTTATGATCAAAGTAACTAGAAAAGCTTGTGTTTTAAAAAAGTAACACTTTTTTTGTATTTCTGCGTTGATTATAAAAAATCTTAAGCTTCCTTCAAAACCTCAAAACTAGTGGAATAAATTAGCAAATTCAAGTGTACTCTGTATTTATGAGTTTACTATCATTTACAATGGATAAAAAAATACAATTAAAATTAATAGAATATCCTAGCAACAGCTTGCGGTACTCAGTTGTAACTATAAATCCTCATTCAGAACCTCGCAATTAGTGAAATAAATTAGTGGTTTCCATTACAATACTTTTTAGTTTAAGATCATTCACAATGTTTAAATAACACAATGAAATTAATAGAATATCCTAGCAACAGGTTGCGTTAGTCAGTTGTTTCCATAGAAAAGCCTAATATTTAGCTTACAAAACAATCATCTTTTGATTTCCAACAATTATTTCTCTTGACGGAAGATAATCAAAGGCCAAAATGACATATCTCGCAAATTACTCTCGCAAGTACAATTAGTCAAAAAGTTAAACGTTTGATAACTTTCTCTACTAGTTGAAAATGTCTACCGCTAATTTTCACGTTCTGAAAGTTTGCATTCAAATTAGAGGAACAAACTTCTACGCTAATTGAAACCACTAATTTATTCCACTAATTACGAGATTCAGAATGAAGCTTAAAGAAAGCCTAATAATTAGTTTATAATACAATCAATTTTTTATTCCTAACCTCAACTTCTCTTGACGGATGATAATCAAACGTCAAAATGACTTTCTTGCAAATTTTGAAGTATAATTAGTGGAAAAATTAAAAAGTTTTTTAACGTTTAGTACGAATTGCAAATTACTACCACTAATTTTTACGTTATGAATATTTATATTGAAATTAGAGGAACAAACTTCTACTAAAATTTGTTCCACTAATTTCGAAGGCCTGAACAAAGATTTAGGTTAAATTTACTAATTAAATTTGCATCAAAAAATAATCTGACAACAAAGAAATAGTAAGGAACAAGATAAAAATAAGTAATAATGCCATCAAACTTACTTGTAAAGGTAAAGTGTCAATCACTTGCCAGGCAGTAACTGGATGATTATCATTACTGACAGATTCTATCACAGCAACCAGGGGTAAACATGTAGCAGGAATATTTATAGACAGCATATTTGACGATTTATCATAAGCAACTCTTTGAGGTATAGGTATTCGGTCTACTCTGGTTGTAGCTCTAATTTCCTGAGAGTCTTCACCAACTCCTTTAGTGTTCAATGCCTTAACCTTTAAAAATAGAAATAAATATTAATAAAAAGCTCGTTACCACTAAATATTGAATTTTAAATACCTTAAATACATATGACTGATGTTGCTCCAAATGAGTCACATTGCATGGTACGTTCTGTTGACAATCCACTTCAGCCCAATCCATGTTTTTCGAAATTGGACCACACCCTTCTACAAGCCCATTATTTTCCCCAGCTATCCTCTTGTACGAAACAAAATATTTGGTGTTATCAATTCCTCCATTAAAACCAGGTTCCCAGCCCAGTGTCACAAACGTTGGACCAGTAAATAAAGCAGATAGTTTATGAGGTTTTTCTGGTGGTCCCTTAGGCTGTAGTCTTATTTTTGTCTCAATTTTACCCAAATTGTTGATAACCTGGCAGTTATACTCTCCATAATCGTGCTTCTTTATATTGGATACCCTCAGGACGCTGCTGTATATGTCTCCTTCTTCGGGGGATGTTTCTATAATGTAGTGTCCTTCTGAGGAAGAATGAAGTGGACTGAGATTGTTACCAAAGAACCACTTGAATTCGGGTCTGGGATAGGCTTGAACGCGACAGACTACTTTGGCAGTTTCGGAAACGTCATAGGCGACTTTGTTATATTGGTGCAAAACAATTGGTTCATCTGAAAATAACAAAAAATTGGTTATGTTTGAATCTTTTGCGTTACAACTGAAAATTTCACAAATCTATCACAATACATTAAAACTTTATCTTAACCTCTAACACGTGCGTTTCGCTAGTAATGTATACATTGTCAGCGTATTATTTATACTAAAAAAGTTAAATTCCCTTCAGAAGTTTTAATTAAGACTGCGAACTAACCCAGTAAGCACAGAGTAGATGAAGTGAATTTTGGTAGATTTTCTATTAGTATTTAACTTATAATTTCTATAGTCCTCGTGTAGTTTTTCAGTAGTGAAATAACATCGATTTTAACAAACCCAAAATCAGTTTTTTTGTAAAATTAATTTTACAAAAAAAAAAAATGAGTAAACTCAGAGCTAAAAAAGTATCAAAGATTGATATTTGGTTGGTCTGGTTGTTAAAGTACCCAATCGGCTGCTCCATTCCAAAACACATTATGTGTAGAAAACAAACTTGTGAGAAAAACGTTCTCTAGTTTTTTTAGTCGGCTTTTGTAGTGTATTAAAAATGTGTAGATACTAGGTTTTGGGCACGTCATATCTCCGAATATCTTATAGCTATCAACAAACAGGCCAGGTTTAAACGTACAGAAAAACACAGTATATCCAAATATGTAAGAAAACTAATTTCTGAAAAAATGTTGGTTACTGTGTTTTGGAATGGAGCAGCTGCAATTAGCTGAGGTAATAAGGTACCCAATTTTGAAACAGTCCTTTGTAAACTTGTTCGCTATAGTATGAACGTTACTTCTACAGGGTCCGGCAATAGTGCGTCGGGCATCTGTAGCTCCTAGAATAAAATACTCGAGAATTTTGTTTTAGTGCAAACCTAAAGTATGTACCAGGATGTATTTCAGGAAAATATTTTAACTTCTATAGGGTGGCTCAAAAAAGTGTGAGTGGACCTGGATGATTTTTTTTAAATGGAACACCCTGTATATTATTGCATTTTTGGCTTCCTTTGAGATCACTTTACATAACCCTAAGATATGAATAAATATATTTCGATAGTTTCAGTGATAATAAAAAATAAATCCAAAATATATATTTTTCAGTCCTTCTTTGAAAAAATATTAAAAATACAGGAACTGTTCTAAAATGAAATCTATATTAGGTATTTACTTTAGATGGTCTGTTCTTACTTTGCTATAAATATTGTTATTGTATATGGTAATCGTAAATCATACAGGATGTTCAATATTCTACGCCAAACTTTCTAAAATATAAAATATTTTTTCTTTGTTTTTATAAATGGAACACCCTGTATATTATTTTTTTATTAGTTGGAGAGTTAAAAATGAACATTTTTTGTATTTAGAGTATTTCAAAATTTTTAACGGTTTCGCAGATACACGCAGTATTATCTCATATGGCGCTTTCAATGGTAAAATACGAGAGAAAAATCATTGGGTGGCTTTGATGAAAATTTGCTGTGGAAAATGCCATATGAAATATAAAACCGCAAATATCCGCGAAACCGTTAAAAATTTTGAAATACTCTAAATACAAAAAATGTTCATTTTTAATTATCCGTCTATTGAAAAATAATATACAGGGTGTTCCATTTAAAAAAACGAAGAAAAATTATTTTATATTTTAGAAAGTTTGGCGTGGAATTTTGAACATCCTGTATGATTTACGATTCTTATATTTATAGCAAAGTAAGTACAGACCATCTAAAGTAAATACCTAATATAGTTTTGATTTCAGAACAGTTCTTGTATTTTTAATAATAATTTTTAGAAAGACTGAAAAATATATATTTTTTATTTACTTAATTAATATCTCTGAAACTATCGAAATATATTTATTCATATCTTAGGGTTATGTAAAGTGATGTAAAAGGAAGCCAAAAATGCAATTATATACAGGGTGTTCCATTTAAAAAAAATCATCCAGGTCCACCCACACTTTTTTGAGCCACCCTATAGAAGTTAAAATATTTTCCTGAAATACATCCTGGTACATACTTTAGGTTTGCACTTAAACAAAATTCTCAAGTTTTTTATTCTAGGAGCTACAGATGCCCGACGCACTATTGCCGGACCCTGTATAATACGTCCACGGATTATCTTTACAAGAGGAAAAATGTCTTTATTATAAACATTTTGAGAAAAATGTATTCTTATAAAAAATATTGCTTGATCTAAAATGGTTAATCCCGTTTATACTTTTCCAAATTTCCATACTGTTTTAGAGAAAAATACAAGAATATGGAAATATAGTTGAATTTCTTCCCAAAAATCAAAACGCATTCCTATTTCTAATATAATTTCGTGTTCATTCTTTGATAGATTGGCAGTATTATTTTGATTAACGCCATTGCATTAAAGAAGCACAAAACTAACTTATATTCACCTTTCCCGTAGCACTGAACCAAATAAATTTTGTGCTTCTTTAACATATTAAAACAGCAAAAAATATGACGTTAATGAAAATTAATAAAAACCAACCAAACCAAACCAAAGAATAATAACCTAAAAATGATATTACTACAGAAACGCGTTTTAATTTTTGAGGCTTTCAACTATACCTTCATTTTTTAAAATGTTTTCTCTAGGCGGTATGAAAATTTGATAAATATCAACAGAATTAACCATTTCGGAACAAGCAAAAATTTTTTTATGAAGAATGTAAAAAAGTTATCTCCCAAAAAGTTTAATAATGATAAAAAAGTTGTTCCTCTTGTAAAAACATACTGTATGTTACCTCTAATGATATTTTACTTCATAAGTGTAAATCAAAATAAAAATTTTAACCTAATAAAACAATTTGATAATCAGAATTATTAATTATATGATGGATCATAAACTTACGTTCAATTTTCAGATGCATTGTAGATTCAGTTCGCCTCACTTCATTTTGAAAGTTACAAGCATAAACCCCTCTATCCGAAGGCAGAAGTTCATTCCCATTCGGCCTAGCTTTACCGTTAAATCTCAAAACACTCTGTACATTCACCGCTCCATTATTAGATTCGGAATATTCCGTTTTCACCTCGAACATATTCGCATCAGCTGTCAGTTCATCGTGATCTTTCAACCATTTCACGATAGGACGAGGTTTCCCTTTGGCGCTACACGAAATTGAATATGCTGCATCCCCCACTTTCCTGGTCTCAGTTGGTTTTAGTTTGTGTTTAAACGTTGGAGGTTGGTGAACTTCCAAATCCACCGAAGCCATTTCACCAGGACCTAGTTCGTTGGTAGCTTGACAGTTGTAAGTTCCCTCAGCCCCCAGATTTGCGTTGGCGATAGTGTACTTCGTTCCTGTCGCTAGAATGGTTGTTTGGCCGTCAACTCCCACTCTCAACCAGCGATATTGAGGTGCAGGCCAACCAGATGGTGAGGCTGTGCAAGTGAGTGTAACAGCACCTCCTTCAGAGACTACAGGTTTACTGGGTGATACTCTTGCTCGTCCAGGTCGATGGCGTACCAAGAGTTTGACAGTTGCATTTCCTACTCGCTCAAATCTGCGAGCACCTTGGCCTGAAGGGGTTAGGATATTAACTGCACGGCATACGTAGGTTCCAACGTGTTCAGCGGTCACGTGGGATAGTCGCAAAGCATCGCCGGTTTGTCTGAAGTCGGGCCTCTCTTCTTTAAGCTGTAAGAGAATCAGATATAAGCATGGTGTAGTTGTAATTATAAATATTTGATTTTTTTAATTGAACTAAGTTTATAATAACCTTTTCACTATTTTTTCAATTCTAGTATAACTATTTATTACTATTTTAAAAATTTATGTTATAATTCTGTTTATTACAATACAATATTACACAAATTTACTACAATACACCACAATACTTTATTTTAAAAACTTTAGGTACATCAAAAAATGATCAAAAGTGACGTAAAAGATCAAGTTTAATATCTGCTGATGTTAATATGGATAGAGAAACTGGGATCAAAGTTTAAGATAAAGTATTATAGTGTATTGGCTGTGGTATTGTGGATTTTTGAAGTTACTAAGTCAAACAAGATGAGAATTAATGTTTTCTTTATATAATATTTTGCTTTTCTACATAGATAAGAATGGTAACTTACCCATTCAATAGTAACTGGGCTAGGATTGGCTGTCACATTACATTTAATGTAAACCGATTCGCCTTCTTCGATGTCTTTCGTTTTGGCTTCTAAACTGACAATTGGAGCGTAGAGAACATCCAAAGTTATCTCTTTTTCACCGACTTTTCCTAAGCCATTGTCAGCACTACATGTATATTTTCCTTTGAAAAAAGAAATATTAATTAAATATCCAGCATGAATGTTTTATTACATTTATAGGCAAGTCAAGAACAAACTTCTTCAGAAAATTTATAAATTATTATTTATGTTTCTTCATTATGCAGGGTGATTTTGAAAAAAGTGCAAATATTTGTAGGGGTTGCATATTTAGACTCCAAGAACACGTCTATGAGGTTTTTTTGCCAAAAAAAAATGTTGAAAATCGTCCATTTTCTTTAACATTTTCTGTATATTTTAGGAAAGTTTTTAGAGCTATAAATTTTCCTACGATATAATTTCCATGGTTACGGCTTTACTCTATGGTTACGAAACTAAAAGAAATGCATATACAGACAAAATCCGGTGGCTCAAATTTTTTTTTAAAATTTATCATTTTTTTTTAAAACTTCAAACTTGAATAATTCGGTTATTTTTGACTTATTTCAAAAACGGTAAAGGAAAAATAAGTTTCTTTTATCGAGATCTACTAGCCTTGAAAATATCTGCACTTAAGACCCACCCTGTATATTTCATTCGATTCTATTATTAATAAGTTTTACTATACAGGGCGGTCCCAATTTTTATCCGGAAACTTTGGAAACATATCTATAAAAAGGTCCACAGACTTCGAGACAGAGGAAAAATCAAGTCCATTTAGCGTGTGTCGCAATTTTCACACTTTAAAAATTAGTTTTTTATAGCTACTATAGCAACTGCAGCGACTATGAAAAAAGCTGTGTAGTTTTCATAGAAAATAAGAGCACCTGTAATTCGTATGAGAATGTTATAAATCGCTAAAAGAGGTTCCAAATCTCTTGGATTTCTATTAATATTAAATAAATTTTATTAAAAATTGAACTAAAATTGTTAGTATCATAAAAACAATTCAAATTCAAAAATTGTATCAGTCAAATTCCCTCATTTACGGTGAATATTAAAGTAAATATAAATACAGCTCATTCTAAGCTCTACTTATCTTTAAGAAAAATTTAAACCATTGGTGCAATTGGGCCTTAATGCCATTTCGAATGAATAATAGTATTAATAATGTACATTTAATATACATAAACTTTATATCATAGTGTGTATTAAAACTACTAAAACACTTTTAAATTGGTATTATATTAACAACTTTTGTTTTTTTAATCAAAAAAAATAAAAGTAACAAAGTTCTCAATTAAAATATTTGTGGTCCTGAAAAGGACCTTTGTTTTCCCATGTTCGTCAAGGTAGGTATTGGGTAAACGGTAAAAAAAAACAGGATAATGAAATTTAAAAAATTACAAAAATTGTTCAAAAAAGCCTCCCTCTTGCATTAAACAATATTCCAAGCGATCATAAAATCCCCTCCTCACTTTGGATAACATATCAGAGGTGACAGTGTCAAAGGCATTAAATATTTTCTGCCTTAACTGCTCGAGGTTTTGAATTTCCTCATGGCCGTAAATTTTAGATTTTATGTACCCCTATAAAAAGAAATCATTCACCGAGAGGTCAGATGAAATTAAACATCAGTCTAAACAAAACTGTCATTTTTGAAAACTTGTCAAAATTTGGACACACGCTAAATGGACTTGATTTTCCTATGTCTCGAAGTCTGTGGACTTTTCTGTATAGTCTTAAAATGCTCGTTTCACAGATACAGGGTGAAGAACTTTCATTTTTATTTAGTGTTTTTAACTTCAAAAAATAATTTTTGACCATATACATAGTTATTTGACAGAAAAGAAAAATTTAGAAACATTTTTTTTTAATTAATCATAATATTTTATAGAAGAATTATATGATAAAACAGTTTCTGTTGAGCCTTTGGCACAAAAACATCTCCAAATTTATTATTCCAGTCCAATAACTACCTAGCCAACATGTATTTTTTTGTTAATGATAATGTACTGTTTCTTTCTATTCCATATATAATATCTTAAGAACAGTTGCTCGTAGCGATCTTTACCCAGAGACCTTTTTTACGAAAAAAACAGAGGAAATGTTTTTTTCTCTCTTAGAAATGTAATACAGGTTCGGACGAAAAGTTGTTACTTTTCAGAGAGTTAAAATACATAGTAGGTGGTGAGATCTACGAGTAGGGGACATCGAAATAGAATTTCTCATATGAAAAAAACACCAAGACACCAATTTTTATCCAAATATCGACGTTAAAACAGATAGAAATTATTAAAAAAAAATCTACACGCTGTATCTCCAAAACGAAGCAGAATTTTTATACGAATATGCATATATTTATACGAATTTCTTTACTGAGTTTTAATTACAGAATATGTTTCCAAAGCTTTGCGATTCCAACTCGGACCACCCTGTATATTTATTTAAATTCTATTATTAACAAATTCTACTCTATATTCTAAAAAGATGTTCTCTTATATTATATTTCCTTACCTGCATCTTGTATAGAAACTCGATGTATAATATTATTATAGTTCGCACTGATGAACCTTCCATTTCTCATCCATCTGACACCTGTCACTTTGGGTTTGGCATCGACCGAACACTGCAGAGTCGCCTGCGAGTCTCTTTCCACTCTGAGCGGATTTTCCGGGCCGACATCCACTCTGGGAAAGTCTGAAAATAAACGATTTCTATTAGGTTTAATTAATTCAATCGTCGTTCAGCTAAAATCTCGAAAAGTTATGATTAATTTAAATTTTATCTCTTCATTAAAGGATTAGGTCGATCGAAAATGAAGTCTAAACGTTCGTTGAAGCGTGTAAGAAGACAATAGATTTGCTTAAATAGATCCTTAAAGAAAGTTTCGGGTTCTAATTTGGAAGGGAATTGGAAAATATTGGTTTGAATTTGAATTATTAGTTAGTTTGCATGGAAATACGAACTGCAAACCATAGGCAGAATACACACAATACATACAACTTACAAGCGTACAACAACTTCAATCTCAGCGTGTGAGATTGATCATTTTCATTGTTAGTATACGATTTAACTGTGTTTTTACTATTTTTTTTTTAAATTTAGAGTTAATTTATTGAACTATTAGCAATGTACCAATGAGTATGATAAAATAAAAAAATCCTAAACGATAGATCTTGCTTCGTACCTGGCTGTATAAGAACTTACAGTGGAAGAAAGACAAATAAAGAATGGGGTGAAAGAAACCAAAGCCTTTTCAAAGGTCCTAATGTAAGTGGTATATCTAATTAATTAAAAAAATATGGATAGATGTTAAGAAAAACATTCAAATTATATACTGTCAGTGCACAGATTAATTTTAGATTAATTTGTGCACAGATTAATTTTAGATTAATTCGCACACATTTAATTTTAACTCTTTTGAAATAAATTGAGTTCACTATTTATTCATTAATATTTTATTTACGAAAATTTACCTTTACAATTATTAGATGACATTGAATATAATACATCTTGAATTTAATTCTCTACGAAACAGTGACAATTTGCAAAACTTTGCTAATGACATTAAAACTTAAATTCAGAAAATCTAAAGAAAAAACACTATTGGACACAGGAAACATTTCAGCTTAATGTGCATATTCTCTGGTTTCAGCTATAAAAAGTTATGGGATAGAAAGGGTGCAACAGTAGTGTTCATCTTCACTTTCCATTGAAGTTATTCCTGATAGAATACTTTTAATTTTCGTGATTCAGTTTCTGTCAATTGCCGTAAAACCACTACTGGTTTGTTACGAAAGTTTTTAATGTTTTTAAAATGGTATCACACTGAACTGCATGTAAACATATCAATTTTAAATGTTTTTATGAAAAACTATTAATAAATCACTAACACAAACACACCATAAACTATTTAATTCGCATTTGTCATCAAGAAACAACTCTGGAAACAATTACTGTTTACATCAAATCAAAGGTTGAACTGATGATATTTGTTGCTGGAACTTCTATCTTTTTTGTACAACAGTTCTCGGGAAGATTTATTTTAGCAGCTTATATTTTTCTTCGGCCGTGTGTGCACTAAAAAGAACCATATAATGAAACAATTTTATAATAACAACTTAGAAAAAGAATATCTAAAACCGGCATCTGATATAAACTTCTAACTTACTTTTCAAACTCAAATTTAAGGTTTTGTATTCACAATTTTAGCCACGCACATTGTTCAATTAGAAAAAACCACGTTTCTAAAAGCTAAATCTTGTAAAAATATGCCCAAATATTAACTGAACTCTATAATTTATAACAAAATAGTAATTCTTGCCATAAGAAGCTGTGTATTTTTCAATCTCTTTGATCACATGCGCCCCTAACGGCGATTTTCGAACTTCATTTAGATCATGAAATCTGGGCCCAAAATTTTTGCGTTCGATTCGCCTCCTCCTTTTAGACTCCAACTCAATAACTCTTTCAGTCTGAACCAGCGTTGCCACCTCGGTTTCGCAGTTCCGCAATGAATTTTCTCGTGATTTTTATAAATGTCTAATGTCTCTATAAGTACTAGATCTAACAATAAAAAGTACTATTACGAGGTTTACGTTTTTTTAGTTAAATTTTAGGATTAATAGGGGATCATGAAGTGAAAATACTGGAAATATGTCGGCACTTACTTATTAAAATTAAATTTTCTCATAGTCTCATTTCTTCATAGTGTACACCATAATTCCTCTGCGGTTTACCCCTCGTATAATACAGTCTAATATAAATATAAATGTCTCCAAAAAAATTCTATATGGATATTTCGCCACTGCGAGAAAATCTACTACATGTTCGAATTAAAGAATGAATAAATTAACTTTCACAAATCTAAGATTTGTCAGCATTCATGGCACACAGGGCACAGAATAAATTTTAACAACGCCAAAATTACGCCTTTAATAGAACGTCAACGGTTTTTGTAGACGTGTCTGTTTATAAAAAAAAGTGTTCTCGAATAGTTGCATATAAATATTTTAAATAGTTTTTTTATTCTGTGCATTTTTTTGCTTCCGACGACGGAAAGAGATACACTTTTAAGCATTTTTTTGTTTGTTAAGCAAACTTGTTAATCAGTATACCTGATAAGTGCTGACAATTAGTCTCCGTTGGATTAACGCCCAGCAGTGTTTACAAAAAATAACTATTTTATTTTGTAGATTTTCTTGCAGTGGCGAAATACCTATATAGGATTTTTTTGGAGAGATGAATCCGCCACATTGGTATAGACATTTTTTACAAATAAATGTATTGCTCAGGCGTCTGTAGAAGTTAGTAATGTATGGCTATCGTTTATTTGATTTTAATAAACATAGCATAAATAAACCTGACATAAGTAAAAATTATAAACAAATAAAACCAATCACATACAGAGAAAGTTTGTAGGCTTTTTGGTTTTACCTCATTAGGTAAGTAATTATTGTTACCAGGCAGTAATTGTTAATTTTGAGAAAATGTGTCTGACTTTTCCGTGCACTTGAAGAGTACGATTGGATCATTGTTCAAAGTTCTGGTTTCAAAGTTCAAAAGTTTTTAATTAATGATGTTAGGTAAATTAATTATACAGGGTGCTACAAATTCGAGGCACGAGCATTGGTATCTCGGTAACCGTAATAGATACGAACATGGTTAAATTGGGGCAAAGTTGCGCCTTGGGATGTTTTAAGATGCCATTAAAAAAGTTTTAAAAATTTCAAGGATTGCTGAGTTTTTGAAAAAAACGGATTTTTTTGAAAATGAATTTTATTTTTTCCTCTCGTCACTTTTAAGAAAATAAAAAAAACTAATTGGCACATTCTCATAGCTACTTTATGGAAAGAATACTATCATTAAAGAAAGTGTAAAATTTTAAGTGTATGATTGTTCTTGATTATAGAAATTATTTTTTTCCGTGTACCGAGATACCAATGCTCGTATCTCGAATTTGTAGCACCCTGTATACCTCGTCAACCGGTTTCATTATTTGATTATTTATCTCGAGCCTCAAGTACTTTACAGCCTTATCTAAAAAGACACCCTGTTAAAAAAATTAATTAACTTAACTTGCGCCGCGACATCTTAGTGTCAATCAAAATGCCGACTTTTATATTCCGTAAAACATCTAAAACTCATAACAAAATCTTGACGACTCGTAGCACGTTGCTGCCAACGACAGGCGGTAATACTTCTAGTCTATTTATACGAAACGGAATAAAAAGAACGTTAAAGATGATCGAGAGCCACTAGGAAGTCGGATTAGTCAAGTAATGAAAGCGAAAGACAGCTTTTTTTCGATTCGATAGCAAAGATTAGTTAGTGGTTGCGTCGCCGGCAGGAAACTGGTTTTATAAACTGGAAGCGCGTGTTTATTTTTGCTACAAAAATAGCAATTTCATAAATTCCGCCGCAGAGTAGCAGGAGATTATCTGTCAGTCTCTATTTTGCCTTTGATGCAGTTTTATATTGATTTGTTTAGCCTGCGGAATTGCTATCTTAAGGTTATACTAAGGGCTGGCAAAGGTTCGTTTTGGCTCGAGATTTCCGTATGTAAGAAGAGTACAATGCGTTTATAATGTACTGAACAAAGACAGAACAGTGAAAACGTTGCCAAGCGTATGAAATAAACCGAGAATCTGTGCACATCGTTAAAAGACGTGGAACTTAAGGGTTGATTCTCACTATAACTTCCGTTTCCATTCCATATTCGTTCCGTATTTTTATTGTATTGACGCTATACGTAAGCTTCCGTTCCGTATCAGTTCCATACTTTTTATTGTACAATTTATATCATTAGGAAAGTTTTATTTTAAAAATTTGTATCTGTTGAAACAAGTAATATAGTATATTTATATTAGATCTAAAATAGCCGAATAGAAGAAAAAAATTATAAAGTTTTGATATGTTGAGATTAGACGCACCAAAAGGAGACTTTTCAAAATCAAAAGAGTTCTTAACTCTAAAGTGTGAGCTTCACCCCAAAAAACCACCCCCAATACGCCCTTCGATGGTTTTTCGCTTTTTTTCTCAGAACCCGTTGGTCCCACAAAAAAATGTATACTTACCAAAAACATTTCCTATAAAATTTGCTACAAAAAAGGTTCTATTCATTATTTATATTTATCCCATGCATTTCGAGCAATAACCGTTTGAAAAATGGAGTACAAAAAAAATACAGGTCGCCTTTTAAATTATAGTTTCCCAAGGTATTTTAACGTGCTAAATATACACGCAACAGATATAATACTGTATAATATAAACAAAAACATTGCCTATTCCACTAAACTAACATTCATACTTTCATCTACGAGGCATGCTTTTTAAGGAAGTACCGTTTTGCGATTCCGCCGCCGCAGCTCTACGGTCGGCGTTCCGTGCATGCGCGCTGGTTACCTACATCTCTTGTCTATGCACAGACGCCAGTACAGTCTGATTCTTCATTGTATACGTTGTTTATTGAGTGTTTAAGATGCCTCCGACAATCGTGAGCCCCGCCGATTGTGAAGTACGGGCTGTCATACGATTTCTTAGTGCTAAAGGCGTAAAACCGATCGATATTCATCGTGAGATCTGTGAAGTTTACGGACAAAACATTATGAGTGATGGAATGGTAAGGAAATGGGTGAGAGCATTTAAAGATGGCCGCACAAATGTGCATGATGAAGAACGGAGTGGGCGTCCTTCGG